GAGATTACTGTGCTGAAACGGAAGGGTACAGCAGCTTCGGCAGGCGCCCTCTGGGTATGACGGAAGACCATGATGAGGAGGAAGTATGTCGAGAGGTTCACAAACCAAAAATAGTGTGAATTACGGTCGGCATCTTGAACGTGTTGTAGAGGCGATAGGAACCAATAGAAGGCCATGAACATAACCAAGTGGAGGAACACCCACCATTCGATCCGTAGACTCAGAGGTTCCTGTGAGCTTGAGAAAAGCTTCATAAATAGCGTCATCCGCTCTAGATCTAACAATCAACTGACAAGAGAAACACCTCATCGTTCCACAATCATACATTCCACTGACCGTATATCAGCTAACAGCCTCTACGCAACAATGTCTATTGTCTGCATGAAAGCTAAAAGTGACCAGCAGAGTCACAAAAATTATATCAAGATTCACATGTTGAAATCATCGCCAAGCGACTCGTTAGACGCAGCCCGCCACAGGAAAGATGAGACCCGTCTGATGAGTCCCGTGACAGGGTTGGGTTCAGAAGTTTCCGCAGGGAAACCTTCACAGGAGTGCCATGTAGCATAGAAAAGAAAGCCAAGCGCGTACTTCCTTCCGACTTCTCCTCTGTGTAATAGTCATCACCCAACGGTACCGCTTCACCAATGTCAGGTCGACGCTTCTTCGAAGCTTTCACCATAAAGAAGTCGACAACCTTTGCCTGACTTCCTCCCTTCAAAGCCTGTCCAGTGTCAACAAAAACATAGCGTCAGCGGCGACTGGTATTCCCTCACCTTCCCATTTGGATTTTTCTTGACTCTGGGTCGGTACTTGCTAGGAGTAACCCACTTCCAGGAAGGTACCTTCACACGGATAGAGAGCTTGAAATAGAGACGTTATGACAAGGAATGCCCCGGTCACTCTCGAGCATAGAAAGAGGAGGACAGGCCTTCGATACTGTTACGCAATGGAAGTCCCGAAATGTGTCGATTGTGTCACCTTTTTTCATACCCGTGCGCTTTTCGGCATTAAAGTCCTATCCCAATAAGGGTCCATTTCCCAGTGAGTGGGGACGTGATCGACTCCGATTACAAAGCACTGCAGGTCTCCCGTGATGGGTGAGATATGCATCCGTACAAAGTTCTTGTAGTCTCGGATCTTGAGGGAGCTGAACGCCTCGGTCCAATGTTGGCCCAAGACGTTAAGTGACACCAAGAGGTAGCAACCAAGGATGAACGATGCGATGGGAGTAATGATAATCCACAGATACGGAACCAAGGGACCAATGAGGGCAATATAGTCGAGCCTCGTCAAATCCTGAAACACCATTGGAAAAAATCTATGAAATTCCGTAATCATAGCAGGAAGTGCGCAGGAGCTCTGCGAGTGTAAAGATTATCACTGACCTGATCCGTCGCCATGGTCGCACAAGCAGCGTCTCTGTTAGTGACTATTATCCTGGGAAGATCGCTGAGAGAGAGAGCCAGCGTGCACAGAGACGAAGGCAACAGGAAGGATGGTATCTGTGGGAAGATATTCTTTCGGACCGACCTCAGACCAAGTAGACCTCGTAACTTCCCCCAGCAGTTTCGAGCACGATACTATCCAAGAAGCGTACTATTGCTGGAGGTTCAGCGTTGGTCGATGTATCGAATTGAGCCATGTAGACAGTGGCGCACTCAGCGGTGCATATACAAGCCACTGCTGCAATAGCATGACAGGCATAGTGCACGGCTCCTACCCCTAGCCTGATCGGCGACGATGTGATACAGTCTTTAGATGGTGAGCCTACTTCCAGGAGACACCCATATGGGTCTCAGCCAATGCTATCACACAGCCCAGGAAACAACAGTGTGTGAACAAAGAAAGGTAACTGTGGTGTGGTGACATCTTCCACGAGTTCTGGAGACCTACGATGTAGTATAAATGATATAGAACGTGTCTATCATCAGAAAAAAGAATTCCCTCAGACCCATCCAGAGATCGGCCTGAGCCAGGACCCGCGCTGACCCGCATAATGGGACAGCGGAAATAACCTGCATCGAGATCTTATCGAATTGCCAAAGCAAAGTGAGCCGTTGATCGTCAAGGCCCCACCATGAGTATGTATGATATCCCAAGTACGACGTCAGCACCCCAATTTCGATTGCGGAAGTGTGTGGGGTTCGACCAAGTCAGCGTACGACTCAAATTCTCGTCGGGGTACGAGCAGACTCTCACATACCTGCAGTCGAATTCCTACTACAACGACATACCCGATGGTTGCGGGTTCAATCCACAATGGCGGCACATGCTTGTCATACAATTCAAGGCCAAGCCTACCCAGTGCCTGAAGCTTTGCTGATGTATTGAGGCAAGTCGAGACCAACTCCTGCAGCTGCGTGTGCATTCCCATCACGACTCTGTTCCCCCAATCTCGACGCCATATTGGCCGCGTTGAGAAAGTCCTTCGGTGGATAATGGGTCGGATGCAAGAAAGCTCCTGCTCCTCCAGAGGTCACCAGAGGAGGGCCGGACGAGCCGTCCTGAAACGATTCGCCCATAACTCACCGGCTGTTGCCGACAGGTCCTACGCCAGGCATGTATCGTGTGTAGTGATGGAGATCACCGGCCAACCTCATAGCGAGCCTTGGCTCCCCGATCTTCTCCAATAGAACATTGAGAGTATATCCCGTTCTCTGAAGAGATCTCAGTTCGCAGACTAACGGGAAGATGCTCACCTCGGCGACGGCTGGGTCAAAAACCCAATTCGGTCTGTGCGTGAGCACTACAACACGATCGTCTGCCTCTACTTTGCCAGTCTCCAGCAAGGCACAGAAATATTCATATTGAGGACGATCGAGGTCATATGAAAGACCCAGGTCCAGACCCCACACCCACCAACCATAGGATAGTTTCACAGCGAAATACGAATGCTTCTGGGGAAGCTTCCAACCAGCTACTTTCTGGTTATACACTATCCAGTGCAGAAACGTCTCTAAGCCATCGTGCCTGAGAAATGTCAGATAAACCTCAGTCCAGCCGGTTGAGCTAACCAGTCATGGTTCCCTGGTATAATGAACATCTGGGGCTGCTCAACCGAGTCCTTGACATTATCCTCAGAATTGATTCGAGGTAAGGCCCACTCAAGAGGTCTGATGAACCGACTGACATACTCCTCATTGGAAGGAGAAGGATAGGCCACGTCACCACCATGGAATACGACGTCTGCACGAGGCAACATCAGCGTATTGCGGTGTGCCAAAGTGAATCGTCCATCACCCCTCCCCTTAACCGACACAGGGGAGTCATCTCTAACGCTGTTGAAGGTTGGTAAGGACCGAATCGTCTTCCTCGACAAGGGCACCAGTTCATCTACTTCGGTCGCGATTCTCGGGCGAGCAACTCCGTCTGCAGATACTAGAGCGTCTCGAGCTTGCGAGAGGAGAGCGCGGTCATTCGGAACCCCGACGGAGAGGTGTGGCTGTGCCAGAAGCCGGGAGATCGTATAGGTGGAGTCGAACCCGTCACCACCGTCTGCCAGAAAATCGAGCCACACGTCTTCTCGACTGGACAAGTCTGAGAAGGTGATTTCCTTAGCCTGGACAGAATGGAGGACGCGAGCATCGAACTTGCCGAGGAAGACCTTCATCATGAGTATGATGTCGAAAAGATGTGTGGTCATGCTCAGACTATACCATGGCACCATAGGCTTCCTATCACGAGGATGGGGTCCTCGAAGCCTCTCAGCTTCAATTATATTGGTATCAATCGGCGGGCCACACGAGAAGAAGCCATGGCGTCTTCCGAATAGCCTCTGGAGTGACCACGAGCACGCGAAGATCGCCCCGACCGTGAGAATGACTGGACACTGGAATGTAACTGGATGATCAAGGAGTTCACAGTAGGAGGAGATATTCGAGGGCAAGTCGCCGCGTTGCTGAGTGCAAAAACCGTATTGCAAGCTCACAGCCGAGGTCATGAGCAGGTAGTTGTTTATAAATTCGCGGTACGTTCTGATGATCGAAAGGCCTCTGGTTCGAAACATCCCCTCGACGAAACAGAAGCCAGGGAGTCCGACGATCAAAGCGGGGATGAAAAAGTTAGCGACCTGAATGGTCTGGAAAGGCACTACCAGTCCTCGTGGAGCTGGAGGCGTGTGCCTAAATACATTCACCAAGAGGAAATATGTGAGGATATGCAGACCCCAGAAGTAGTGAGAATCGTGGGAATTATCCTGAATGTGCTGTAGTGGTGATAAGAACCAATAGAACATCAAGAAGAGAGCACAATGGCATACTATCCACCATTCAAAGCGCTCACTGATGCCGACGGATGCGACGACAGACATTGAATCAACAAATGTTCAACAACTTTGAGAGACAAACAGGCTCTTACGAAATCGAGATTGATGACTTGGCGCAACACCAAACATCGATGAACCTTAACAACCATCCAGGCGGATGCAAGCGATCTCTAGTAATGCGTATAAAAAGCAATGAGATCGACAATCCGAAAACAGACAAGTCACACGCTACACTCTCAGAGCCCTCTGCCGCGGGAAGTCGACATTTAATCGACGAAGATGTGCTTCTGGAAGGTCCGGAATAACGGAATTTTATAGTGTTTTATCTCATGGTAGAGAAAATGGATGAGGATAGGCTCTTTGCTGTTCACCTAGTGCACCCCGGGACCCTCGGTTCCAAAACAGGCAGGTGCTAATATACAAGCCACTTCTCGGTAGCGTCTGTGATAATTACAGTGTGGTAATCACGTTCGTACACAAATCACAATGCAAGTCGTGTACAATTGATACCGTCATATTTCATCGAGCGGGAAGCCGTGTTAATACAGCGACTGTATTAGCACGGCTTGGATTGTGTTACAGTTCCCGCATACGTCTTGGATGAAAATCTCTCTACCAATCACTCCGCGAAGGGTTGTGACCCATGGTGAGGCACCCCCGAACACCTCTACACCTTTTCCTGTGCAAGTTTGACAAGTGATCATGCGAGAATGGAAGTAATAGAACCAAGTTTGACTATGATAATTCAGACTGACAAATTGTCAGTAGAGCGCACCAACGCATCACTCAGGAAGAGGGCGGACAGCGAGAGAGCAAAGTCTGTAGCCCGCATCCCATTGTCGAGTGATCTGAAGGTACTCTCTCTGGCGCACAGAGGGGTGAAGTCCGATCACCTGCCCGAGTTTCAGCTGAAAAATAGCAAAAGCTGCGGTAGTCCCGGGGTGATATAAAAAGTGTTATAAGATTATATTTTACTTATTCCTTATCAGGTTGGTTCATCAATAGCTAAGGTTGCCTGAGTTCCCCTCGAAGACTGGTATTTCAGAAGACGATGAATCCTCTGGCCATGAATTCTCCATACTATGAGCAAGCACTATAAGTCGATCAAAGTCAACCTCGACAAGTGCTGACTAGTGGAGCCTCGTAGCACTGAAGTTCAGTGATTGAACGGAACACATTCAATGAACAACAATATAACAACCAAGTTGTACAACTAAGCCATGTTGTCAGTATTTCTTACCATTGAGGAAACCAATATTGGGGTATCACCGCCAAGTTATGGTACATGCGTCATCAAACTAAATTCACAAGGAAGAGCCCTTCATCGGTTCGCTTCGAGCCAGCGAGTTTGCGAAGACCCTTGAACGTCCTTGGTCTCTCCGATTTTCGTCAAGAGTCTCTTCACTTTTCCTCCTGTTCACCTTCAACTCGCTTATTTTGCTCCCCAAGCTAGCTATCTGCATACGAGCTCGCTGCACATAGCGGGCTATGTGCAGATGAGCGTGCCGGCATACAAATACGCATTCGACATCTTATTGCAATAGTTGAGTATCGCAGTCGTCGCGACGCCAACTACGGATCACATACAGTTGTCATCGTGATACTTGCAGTTGAGCTCACTCAAACCTGCCTCAAACGATCGGCACCTCCCCAGTCAACAAAGTTGCTGCTACAACAGCGACTGAGTTACGCAAAGAAAAGATGATCTCCTTGTCGCGGCCTTGGAAGGGATACTCGACCGATATGTTCGAGAAGAAGGACACCAAGGCAATCACGAAGGCTAAACTAACACCAGGTTTGACAGAACATAGGAAATAGTCACTGGTCCTGAGCCATCGACCACTTCGACGATCCCTATCTGGGTTCTCCTCTACGACCTATCGCCCCTCTGTCCGTGACGAACAACAGTTACGCAGAGGCCCACAGCACAGAAGGGAGCGTAAAAGAATTGAGCCATCGAAAGTTAGCGGCGGGGAAAAATCCAGAAGCAGGAGTGGCACAATACGAGGGCTAGGAAGCCGACTACTGGTAGCGGCATACGCCGTGGTGAGCGACCTTCCTCAATGTGGGAAGCCCATCGGAAGGAAAAACAATACAGAACTGAGAGAGAAGACGAAAGAATAGCAGCCATGAGAACTCAAGTGAGATGTCGTTGAGAAGCAGGCACGGCGGGTGGACATGCGGTGATGTATTGAAGGTGTGGTATCAGTAGAATGCAAAGTCCAACATTAAGAGAGACACTATACCGTTCTTTCACTGAGCTCGGGCTTCTCCAGGAGAATGCTTGCATACTGAGAAGTCTCATAGTCCACACAGGTTATGTCAGACCCACCGACAGATCGTCATCGTCGCCCTCCTCGAGGCCTCTCAAATAAGCCTCCTTTTCCAACACTTCCTCCGCCTTAGCCAACCACTTTGTCATCCTAAGTTCAAAGACACACACCGTGGCAGGATATAGAGGACCGACTTTCTGAGGTCCTTTCTGGCTGCAGTAGTGAGACGGTCCGTTGCCGCACTGAGATCCCCAATCATATGCTCCATCGGGGAGGTCCACTCCGTACTCAACTAAGACCATCAACACATGGATAGACCGAAATGATCACGATATGGGGTGACAAGGTGAGGCACATTGAGCTAGGTCGAGCATACTTTAGTTTCGTCCCAAAACCCCCTGGGCTGCAGTTTTTCCAGTAACTGTGATGTCGCCTTCGCTGCAATGGAGCGTTCCGGCCCCTCCAGACTGTCTTCCAATCTTATCTGAGACTTCTCTTTGCCTTCGAGGCCCGTGTAGGACTCTCGCGGACTAAGGCGATATTGACTTTCACATTCAGCTGATAGAATCGACTTGAGGAACTATAAGGTACTGAACTTGTCAATAATTTCGAGGGAGACGGACGATTTCGGTTGTTGGTAGCCGTCGCCCTTGTAGCTACTATCCCAGCTACCTCTCTTTCATTGGTATCCTTCCTTCCCAAGATGACCCCATCCAAGACTGACAGACGCTGACAGCAGCGGTGCAAGCCTTGTGCTGAACAGGAGTGCAAGAGTGAGCATGGATTGCCAGCAACCTGATCCCGGCCGATGGCACCCCCTACTATATAAGTATCGCGGTCTATACCTACCGTAAGTTCAGCGAGGTCCTTCAGAGCGGTCAGCTCCTCAGCTACCGACCTGCCTTCCTCCAGTTTGTTGTTCATCAGTTGCAGCACTTCTACGTTCGGGCACGCTCTCGCCAACCCCCTCAAAGTCGACAGGCGATTGCTGGACAAGTACAGCTCAGTGAGGCGCTCACATACTGGGAGGCCTTGGATACCCTTTAGACGATTACAAGCCACAGAGAGGACCGACAGAACGTTTCCTTCTGGAACGAACCCGAGGCTCTTCAAGCGGCAGCCATCCAAAGTGAGCTCCTGCAGTCCGCGGATTCGCACGAAGACGCCTACCTCTATTTTATCGATGGGGTTGTATCCCAAGTCCAATACGACCAAGCCCGACAGTGACCGCAAAGCATCACGTACCGTCCCCCACGTGAGGGCATTGTGGGAAGCATTCAACCGACTTAGTCTCTTCAACCCTTCGGCTTCCTCCAAGGTCTCCAATCGATTATGCTGACACTCTAAACTCTCAAGCGTCTTCGGTAGAGCACAATCGAACCGCTTCAGACGGTTGTTGGAGACGATGAAATGCCTCAACTGTGGTGGCCACTCAATCCTATAGAGCTTCGATAACATACACGATGCCAAGTTGAGTACGAGAAGACTACGCCACTGCAACCCGTTGGCGAGACCAAAGGACTCAATATTGTTACTGGACAGGTCCACTTCCACCACCTTTTCCCTTCCCTTCACCATCTCTATACCATCAGTGCTGCTCAGCATTTGATAGCACAAGTTTAGTTTTAATACTGGACTCTTTCTGTCCAGTCTGGTCGCGGCCCACGCGATATCTATAGACTCCCTCCGAGGGCGTAATGCGCTGGGGATCCAGCGCTCTTCCATCAGGGCATTCGGACCACCCCTGGCAGTAGACCTCCTCGAGGCTGATTGAGAGGAAGAAGAGGCGGAGCATGATGGGAAGCCCTTGAGGACAGCATCAACGGACACTACCCCACCTCGCCGCGACACATGACTGCCATCCCTAGTAGACATCCGAGATCCACTCAAACTACCATCGCCCAGGCACTCTCCCGGCGAGGAACTATCGTCCCCAACACTCGTGATCGACATCGAAGCGAGATTGATCTTGCCCGGCTCGGGTCTCGAGGCTCTGAGGATCCCTCTAGCGCCGCCTACAGCCACCTCAGGATCAGAAGTTTCACCGAGTTCGATCAGAGATGTGCTGCGAAAGCTAGGGCTGCCTGGGGCTCGACTACTATTACTAGATGCCCGCCATACCACGCCAGTATCATCACTCCTTCTCAAATCAAACCAGACCTCCTCTGTCCCTGCACGGCTCCCCTCGGACGGCTGCTCGTCGAGCGAAGCCTTCAAGCCACTGAGGATCGAGCTATGAGTGGCCATGAATGAAAAATCAGCTCAGCTCACGATAAGGGAGTACCTCAAAGATTACTACCCACAGGTATGTGAAGACAAACCCTGCTAGAATGCAACAATGATCGTGCTGGAAACCACATAACTCCTATCACAAAATCCCTGTCATTTATACTGTACCCCGCCCATGAATTCTCTGGCATTGGGTACGTTGCCGTTAAACTCCGCTCCTGAGAAATCGAACCCCGGATGCTCCTCCTGACACCACGAGACAAGTAATCCTCAGGCGACCGCTGCCAAGTACGTGACACTTGGAACCTCTCAAGCATGAGCTTTGCTGGGCCTGCCCCTCGAAGCACTGCGTGCGGGCCTACACCACTTGAACAATCTCTAATGGATGAAGGAATCAATTCGTGATTCCGAGAGAAAATCCAGTGGTCACCCTGGCCAGGATTATATGTAATACTTCCCTATCCTCTATAAACAGCATTGAATGATCCTTATCCACTAGACCTGCCCTGACCAAACAACCATGTGATGTATAGAGACTGGGGTTGGCCTGGTTACGGTACATGGTTGAAATAAAACTGATCCGCTGCTCTCAAACTTAGCTTCACGGGTCTAGGCTCCAGTGAAATACAAAACTCTGAGGTAACCTTACATACACGTGTACCTTAAATAACGGTTCGAGATCAGAACGGCTGAGGAATTTGCCCTCTGCCCGATAGTCCACAGAGATTAGCACAGGCGAGTTCATGGATGACTGTCCTTCCCCCCTGATCACCTCATCTTGCGTCTGCTCCCATTCATACACCACATGACCTCCATAGACATACAATTGTCGACCTCTCGCTTTCTTGCCCAACTCTTTAACCCTGGGATCCTTCTCATTCATCATCTACACAACCCCATGCTTTTTCCTCGCCCATCATCACAATTTACGTCACCAACTTAATCGTGGGAGTGGAGGAGAAACACCCGTATACCACTCCGTTGGTAACTCCCACCCTCCCTATTTCGCCACACATGACGCTAAGCTCGAACTGCGATATGTATCCCTCAGTCGAGGCATCCCCCAATTACAGCAAATCGACCGCATAAGCTCATTCAACTTATCATAGTCGAACACCGCCGAGCATCGAGCTGAGAATTCACGGTCACCCATCAATGAGGCCATCGATAGCTTATAGATGGCCACATTATCATTGGGCGCGCCTTGATTAAATCAAACTCCTAAACTTTCAAATAAACCGGGTATAATATTAATTTTCTTGGTATTTCATTAAAGCCATGGGTAAAACGTTAATTAAAAAGGTAAAACATTAACCAAATGGGTAAAAAATTAAATTTGTCGGTAAAAAATTAATTTGACCTGGAAATGCTGTAGTCTCATTCCAGGCCTTATTGTCGACTTCATCTCATGGCGCACTGCAAGATGTATCCGTCCATACCACCATAACGTTGTTCCGAATTATCGGATTCACAAGATACGACCAAGGACTGTGCAACCCCCTACTCCTCGTATTACCGTCCATAGCCGCTACGGTGCTGGTCGCTCCTCCACGGAAACCTGTAGTTTTGGGGTCACCTCTAGCGATGATCTCCCTCAGATCGACTAGATTCCCTCTAACAGCGCGTCGATTCGTGAGTTTCTGAGAGTCGCTTTCATTCTCAGTATCACTTTCAATCAGATTGACTCACGCAAGCTGGACAAGATTGATTCCTAATACAGAGCCCGGCGGCAGCTAAGCAGCTACCACTATTCGAGCCAAACCCATGTCCATACTCGCCCGAGACTGAGGCGTATCCAATGTGGAAGAGCAGAGGATACGAATGAGGTTGGACTAATTCCCGTAGCCGAGATTATTACGCTGTCGATGAAGTAGAGAACATCAAAAACATTTATCTAGTTGGTGAGAGAAATGGTGGGGTGATGAGCGACTTTGGTGACGATGGACGATGGATGGACGATTTGCTCTGCGCGAAATTTGTCAAGTGAGTAATAATTTCCTAACCCGGAGATATTCTCTCATGCTTCATCGTTCTTCCTCCGTTACTCCTCACTGTTCTACAGTTGAGTTGAGTTATTCTCGCCGTAACCTGCCTCGACTGTATGTAGTGCTAGGAATCTTTTGCAGTTGACCTTCTCGGTATGACGTCACCGTCATCCACCAGTTTGGCAGACGTCCGACGGCTGGTGTCCTCCGGCGCTCCACCAGCACTCATCGTCAGTGATCCAGCTTGGAAGAGGATGCTAGATGAGGTGATACAGGCTTGGTCATGGTCTCAGTAATGTAAGGATGAGTAGCTGTGAAAAAACACTTCGTGACTTACTTATAGTCATCGCCTGACGTGGTACTAATCTCACAAGCGATCCAATGCCCAAATCCAACTAAACTGATACCAGCGTTTGACTATGAACTCTCGCACATACTAGAGCTCGTTGGGAGCAGACTGAAGCTTGCATATTGGTTTTGTGTACACCGTTCATGGCGTTCTCACGAACGAACCATGTCGAGGTGTTCAACATGGAATCTTCGGGCACCCCGACAGCACATGACGTTGTTTTATATTACTATACTCTGCAGATCGACACTGGGTTGGCACGGCGAAAGGAGACCATCGACCGAGTTGCCGCGGACCTCAGCGTTATGGTGGAGGACAAACAGAGGCTACCTGTCTACCCATCCGGACCACCTCCACTCGGGTAGATAGGAATATCCCGAAGCATACTGGTTACGTCTTTTCCTTAGCCCTGGCGATGACTGGTGGCCGCAGGAGGCCATGCCTGGATATCCTCCCCAACACCCTCCAACGTGGGGTGGCCCTCAGGGATATCCTCCTCAGCATACTCCCATGCCATGTAACAGGTTCCCTGATGCATTGGTCAATACCATCCTTCTTTCAGATCACATGGCGTCCCCTCCAGTATCCGATGGTTTCCCGGAGCCTCCTCCCTTCCCTACACCACCACCAGGCTTCAGTCATCCTCATAGAGAGCAGCTACCAGAAGAGACCGAGCTGCAGCGTCGGAAACGACAAGTATAGCCATCTTCATCATGGATCGTATCTACCATCCTTATCAGGCTCTCCAAAGGATGTCTGCGCTTGCTCCTCCTCCTCCTGCTGCCGAGAGGAGTATCGAACGGTGTTCATCCCCTGACTCTGGGTATGGTCCTGCGCCCGATCCCGAAGATAAGGGTAGTCATGGTATTGCTAGGCTATCGTTCATACGAACTAAAACTGAATGATCGTGGTTGTACGTTCACGCAGACTGTACGTTAGTCCTGTTGATTCCATTGCGAGTGAACATCGGTTTACATCTAGTTATATCTTCTGAAATATTGTTTCCTGATGATGGATACTCGTGGCTCATCCATGCGGTCAGATGCTTTCGAGGCTTATCGTCGATCTTGCTGGCTGAAGTACTACCAACACATGGCTTCACTCCAGACCCCAGGGCAGTCGGCTGATCAGCAGCAACAACAGTCGAAGAAGCGTCCAGCTGCCATTCCTAGTGTGGACGAGGATGAAGATGATGATATCAACAAGGAACTGCTCGGCCTCTAGGCTCTATTGCTCAGATAGCTGTGTATCATTTACGATATTTTTCTCTACTAGTCTGACCGTGATCGGGTTGTCAATAATTGTGTGCTAAGTGCGGTTAGTCGTGGTGAGGGAGTTCATGCATTAGTAAGGATAATGACTGATGAGGTAAAAGGAAGAGCTTGAAATAATACTGCTGGGATGTTCGTGCCTGTCACCATCCAGCCAGAACGTGGCGGAATATTTTACTCACGAAGGAATGCGAAATGACCACTGCATACTTGCAGATAATAGCAATGAGAGGACCACCGTCATGATTCGATATGAACTGTAGACATTTGATGACGTTACAAGCTGCAGTTAGCATAGGCGTGTGGGGTAAGAACCGAGACAGTATCGAGTTCATCCCGGGATGAGGTATGATGAATACACCGAGCACAAAAGAGGGCATAATCTATCTATTCAATGGTCGAAGCACTGATGATGCTGTCTTGGATTTCTCTCCATAACGAGGGTACAGATGCAATTGGTGACTATGTGAGGGTGCCATCGTGATGAGATGCTGAACCGAAGTGAACACAACCGAAGTGCAATCTCAAAGAGAAACTCTCCATCACGCTTGAAAAACGTACTACTGACAACTCCATCACCAACGCTCACTCGATGGGCTTCAACAGAGTTGTCTGCAGCTGATCAAGCCTCGAGGAAACGGAATAGTCGTAGACGCGATCCCTCACTTTAACGATCAAACCTCCAAGCATGCCAGGAGATACCTACACCATCAGCATTATAGCGGTAGTGACCAAAGTAGATCGTAGTACCTCGTATTCCAATTTCAACTTATGCTCTGGTCCAAGGCGTTTACCCAGTGCCACTTCAACCTGGGAAGGATCATACACGAACGAGGATACATATTTATATTACTCTTTTCTTGTCACTGTTGTCAAGCTCTGTAGCAGTGACCACGCGACAGAGGGTGAGGCCTTGCTCGAAACGGACCACCTCGTCGAACTTATCGATAAACTTCGACAGGTGATCCAAACGGTCGTTCTCGCAGAGGATCCCTGAAGTGATCAGCAACGAGGTGAATACAAAAACCTTCCTATGCCACTGGGGGGAGGCAGGCTACCGAGCTGGTGTATTACTGAGGAAGTTGGTGGTGATGTCATCAGTTTGGCACTTCTTGCAGATGTCCTCAACACAGGCCACACGTACGTTCCTTTGCAGACCTATGAGTCGGTTATAGATGCACGGGAAATTAGTGGTATTACCAGGGACAGTACAGAACATAGCGAAAACCCTCTCAGTTTGAAGCATCTCACGCAGCATCATTAAGTCGTGATAGACAACGTCGAGTTTACCCTTAGGGTTAGCCACGGCAAAGAGAGAAGCGGCGTACCTACAATGAAGCTAATCAAAGAGGTTATACCGCTCGCCCACTACCTCCCTTCCAAGGTGGTGTCTTCCAGCTTTGGAACGGACGCGCCTCCGGTGGCCGCTGCCTTGCCAGACTTACCCGCAGCAGCAGCAGCGAAGAGGCGGACTGCTGAGCGGTTGAATGTCGGCACTCGAGTGAGAGTACTACGGGCCAAACTAGCCAGCATACTTAGGGGAATGTTACGGAAAATATGCTGCTATTCATGAACACAGAGATCAGCGTCGAAATGGACCCATGCATACTTGAGTTTTGAACGATTCCGTGGAACCCCGGATCGATTCCGAAGTTCGACAAGATTCAAATTCTATACGAAGGGGGAGTGAATGAGTTCTCAATGAGAAGGCAGCTCCTCTTCTGAGGGAGGCGAAGGCCTAGGGTAGAGGGTTGAAAGAAAAGACCTTACTTTATATGGAAGGTGATAAGATGAGAGAAATTAGGAAAGCATTACCCGATGATAATAGTGATGGAGGTGACGGCCATTATGAGAAGCAGGATGTAGAGAACACTCTCATCGTCTATTCCCAACGAGCATCGTCGAAGACCGCAACCTAACGATTATATATGTGCGCGATCTATTCCGATTGTAACGAAGTTCCCCCAAGCATAATCGTTCCCTCGGATGATGATTCTCCACATTGCGTGTCTTGACGTTCGTAAGTGTCGCTAGATTGTTTAGTCAGTAGAGCTCTCGAGTTATCATACACTATCTGTTACATCATTGCCAAGGAGAACAACTTTCAAGTGCGGCCGGCACCTTTCAGAGCTACGTTTTCAGTTATAGGAACTATAGGACTAGGAACGATTACAAGAACTACGTCGTAGTGTGCGAAGGGCGATCACACTCGTTATGGAGTTACTTGTAACTCCATTCATAGTGTCCGATTTTACTGTCTCCAATATGGACCCGGCAACGAAGAGTTTTTTCGTGGCACGTCGAAAAGAGGACCCCGAGAATGCTGTCTGTTGTGACTGCGGTGCTGCCAACCCACAGTGGGCAAGCGTCCCTTATGGGATCTACTTCTGTCTAGTCTGTTCTGGTAATACCGAAGCGATACAATGTTATGACGGTACGAGAAGATGTGAGCGATTTGTGGTATTCAGGGAAGCACCGATCTCTGGGGGTACACCTTAGTTTTGTGCGCTCGACCACGATGGATAGCTGGAACCCCAAACAGTTGAAGAAAATGGAGCTCGGTGGCAACAGCAAGTTTAACAAATTCTGTCGAGAGATGGTAACATAAGTGAAACCATGACCCGACTCATCATGTGTGTTAGGGAATCGACAAGATGTCGATCTCGGAAAAGTATAATACTAAGGCGGCGGAGTACTATAGGAACTACATTCAAGCTTTGGCTGACGGTACCGCGCCGCCTGAGAGGCCCTCGGTAGCTGACGGGAAGATGCCGGCATGTAATGGTGTTAGAGTCGCATGGTCGTACATGAAGTGATATGTGTTAGATCCTCCTCCTGCTTCGTCGACTAGTGGTAGTCAACGAAGCGCGTCTCCTCCACCAGGGTCAGGTTTTGACTCGTCCAATGGGTATAGCAACGGGTTCAATACGCAGCGACAGCCTGGCCGGAATACCATGACGGGCTTTGGAAGTGAGATGTCTGGTATGAGGAATCAGGGAAGCTCTGATCGATACAGCTCGGCAGGGTTCCAGCAAGGAGGAGGTGAGGTGCATGCTCTGTCGTGGTCTAGGGAGTCCGGTTGACTGTAATAGGACCGAGCCAGGGAGACTACTGGCACCAAGAGGGTCAGGAGGATAACGATCCTTTGGGGAACATGATCTCTGGTGCCGCGTCGTGGATGCGTTCTGCGGTAAGATTTGAGATTGTTGTGGTAGGTAATACCTGATTGTTGTTCAGAGTCAGCAAATACAACATGACGGTTGGAATGCGACTGCTCAGAGTTATGCTCAGTGGGCAGCTCAGAAGAGCTCTGAAGCGTATAGTACTGTCACCGACGAGGCCTTCAAGGATAAGGTTATACGGGAAGTCTTCAACGATAAGGCGGATGATGATTTGTTAGGTTCGTTCGAAACTAGCGTCAACGTCGGACTGGTTCTCGCAGCAGCTCGGTGGTACAGGTAGCTCAGCCAGGGGTGAGCAGGCAGCTGAGTATCTCGGCACCTTGTCGTCGGGAACAATGGAGGTAGGAGTAGCGCGAATGAAGGGATCTCTTGTGGCGACTGTGCGCTACAGGGTTTTGGTTCGGGTTCTGTGAGGCCTCCAGTATCATCGGCGCCGCCGAGCACTACACGGGGATCTGCTAGGGGGGAGGCAGCAGCTACCTATCTTAACACCTTGTCCACTGGGAAGATGGAAGTAGGAGTAACCAATTGTAGGTGGTTTGGTACTATTGGAATCATCAGGGATTCGGTTCGGACTCGATGGTGTCCTCACCTCCTCACCAGGCAGGGAGTCATGACGCCCATGGTCGGTCCAATTCTTCTCCACCACGCGCGAGTGACTCGCCGTTGATCGACTTGTCGTCCTCGACCGTCTCTAAACCGTCCCCGCAGCATTCCCAACCGAGCTCTGCTGGGCATCAGAAGGCTCCACAGGTGGGCGGCTTGCAGCCCCAGAAGAAGACTGGTGAGTGGTATTAGTTACCTTTTTCGTGAGTAGTCCGGGTTGCTGGTCGCTTAGGCACTTTGAGTGACCCCGAGGCTTTCTGGAATGAGGACAACTGGTGATTTGTTCACTTACTATCTCTACTGGAATCGTGACCGACACCAAGCCTGTCACCTGCTCCCCTCCTCTGCACCGCTATTACAGTCGTTGTTTTTCATCAAAATGTACCATATAGATGGTCGGAAAGGGGAATGGGTAGCAGTAGTATCCTCAGTTCTTACCATTCTGTAAGCCGTAGCCTGCTATAGTAGGTATGCATCGCTCCGCTAGGTCCGATTTTCAACTGTTAGTACACCTTTTACTATTAACCTGCGGGTGTTGAGGTTCAGTTGTCACTGTGGGGGGATGTTAGTGTTCGCTCAATGACCGTGCTATCTGGGGAACCATCAGTGGCCTCTTCGGCTGAGTCTCCGCAACGGGAATCACCTGGGAGGGACTCGAGAGCTCCAGTCTCATCCTCTGTGGCTTACACAGGACTGGTCTCTGGTTTGAAAAGGGAGAAATTCCTGCCGAGAGAGGTGAATGCAGTGTCGCGTCGGGCGCGGTAGTAAGCTGTGTAGATACAGAAATGGCTGCAGAGCCTTGACCTGACTTACGCCCTCAAGAACCCTCATCGGTGGGTGGAAACAGTGGCGAAGTTTGAGACGCTAATCGGGTTTAGTGATTTCGCCAACGGCTTCCTAATAGCTGAGATTTTCGCACGATATTTTCCTGGCGAAGTGACGATGCATAGTTTCGACCCTGGTCTGTCGCTGGCCACCAAGCAGAATAACTGGGAGACTCTGTAACATCAACAGGAGCGGCAAGTGTGTCTGGTTCGGTCTAAAGGTTCAAGTTTTTCAAGAAGTACAATGTGGATATCACTGTTGAAGACTTCGAGCCAGTTATTCACAACTGTCCTGGTGCTGGTATCAACATTGTCACCAAGGTGAGGACGCGGTGGTTGATATAGCTGAGACGTGTGCAGGCGTACTATATTCTCACGAAGAGGCGTTTGGGTGGTAGTGCAGGCAAGATTGGCAGTAGAGATGAGAGTGAGGCGTGTCAACTGTGTCGGAATGTGCGAGTTGATAGTAGGCACTTCCTCTGTCGTCCACGGCGGTGTGGATAGTGATGCTCCGAATTACGCGAAGAACACGGCGTCAGTAGTACTGAAAGACCCGGAGATCGATAGAACTGTTGATGACAACGCGAGGGTTTTGAAAGTGAAGGAGCTTATAGATGGAGTTCTGGATGGTCTATGTAGGCACTGATAGCTCTGGATGCACACAACCAAGAGCAGCTCAATGAGAAGGCCAGGACGGGCAGCAATGACTCACAGTATCGCCTTTATCCACAAGGTAGGAAGGGCATCACTGAGTTCATCATGGCTTTCCTGTAGGGCGTCCTGATGTGGGCCAAAACGAAGAAGAGCTTGAGCCTGGTGAGCAAGGTGGAGATGAGCCAACAGCGGTGGGCGTTGAAGCATGCCAAGTGGTGTCTGTCTCGTTCACCCCTCTGGCAGGCGAGAGAGGCTCGAGAAAAGCTCTTGGCTGCGATGCTTGATCCGTGCGAGCCGAGTGATGAATTTACTGTGAGTAGAAGGGGGGGGAACGGCATGGTCTATGGTTACACCTATAGTAGGGCTCCGGGCTGCAGCGACGCCACATTGGCCTTGAAGCTATAGGCTCTGCTGAAGGACCGTCACAGGGTAGTCTGGGCACAGTGAGTAGCTCCAATGGTCATATCAGGTGGAGCGGTATCGGTGTTGGAGGTGATTAAGTCTATAGTGACAGCTGCTGTGGAAGAGCACCCGCAAGGCGGATCCGTCCCATTGCAGTCATTGGGCCCTCAGAAGGATGTCATGGTATACTCTACTTGTCATCAGCTCTCGACGAACCCGCTTAGAGGACCCTTCTTGAATCTGATAGCACTGTACCGGAGGAAGTAGTGATGTCCGCATTGGCTGCTATCAAGGACCAAGCTGCTAGGCTAGCTCCTATGCTGGTCGATAAGTAACGTTCTCTATCATAGTAGAGCAGTGGTAGCTGTGGTCTTTGTAGTCCGGTGGAGGTATGGCGCTTGTGGAAGATCTTCGAGAAGGGCTTTAAGACGGTCCCTGAGGACTCCCCGGTTCTGCCACGGCTTGCTGAGCTCATGCATGCGATAGGCACTGCTATGCGTGCAGTAGATCCTCAGCTCACTGCTAGTGCTGCGAAGGATGTGAGCACATCTGAGAGGTTGAGGATTCATAGTAGGGGTTTACAAGGTACTACTACCGCTGTTGACCCCAATCATATGCGGTTCAATTGACGGTCACAGTCAACACCTGCTGTTCTTTCTATTCAAGGTGAGTGATGGAGAGCCTCCATTCCCCTTCATATAGACCCTTGGTTGATCTGGTGTATTCAGGGCTTCGTAGGAGCAACGGCAGGGGACGTATTAGAGATGCTGCATGCATTGCGTGAGGAGATCGTGTACTGTTACGGTGGTAGTACAGCGACAGATGGTCAGCCTCGTGGTGAATACTCATTACAGGGCGCATGGGGGAGGTCTTGCCACCCCTTGTGCGCTGTATGAACTTCATCATCACTCTGCGGCTAGTTGCTGACTATGAAGATCCGGCAGGCAGGGCCCTTGCTGATGTGTAGGGAAGCAGCGGCCCATTGGCTGTAGCTTTCTCGTTAGGTATATCTACTACGCGCTCCAAGGTGTTGATAGTAGTTCCTACCAGGCGAGAACTAGAGGCCTTGGGATACTCCTTGAGGTTGGTGGATAACTCCAGCTTCCGTCAATCCGGTCTGTCTCAGCTCGCAGCGAGTAGTTGTGTGTTAACTGAGGTGATCCGTGAGGCTACTGTAAAGACCGTCATAGCGGCTACGGTGGAAGAGGTAGAATCTGGTACTCGCCTGGGATGGGAACAGCAGGTAGACAGGGGTCGAGATGGTGTGGGAAGGAAGAGTGGAGGGTTAGGCCGTGGTACTGGCGTTGTTACTGACCTTCCTTGATGTGGCAGTGAGGGGATCTTCTGAAGGGGTGTCTGCAGATGCTGAAGGTGAACGTACTGAAGTGATCGAACCAGCGCTGTTTTGTAGATGACATACAGACTCGGGAAGCACTGGAGCTCCTTGTGAAGTTGCTCAGTGGTACGGCATCGGTTGAGGTTCGCCAGGTGGGGCACTGTGGTAGGCGGCAGCTCTCTTAATATGTACTGCCAGATAGCCCTCGTCGCCTTGGCCAAGTCGAGAACCCTCGAGGCATTCGAGGAGCTTCTAATGGAGCCCTTCCTTGAGGCCGTGATTGATTCGCCAGACGAAACACGGAGGTAAAGTGGATGCGGCTTCGAGCACCTTCATAGTGTTGCTCGTCAGGTCTGTTCTTTCTCCCTCTTTTGATGGTCATACTACTACTCTGCCTGTAGACGCATCTCCTTGTCTCCGTTGTTGGTGGAAAAGGCAAATAGAGGAGACTCCTCGTGAGTTCCCGCAGTAGTCGTCAAGGAGCAATCACTTTATCAGGCGGCGTGAACTGGCCGAGTTGTCCACAAGTCACTGCCTTGGCGCTCTCAGCTATGGTATCACGCAGAGAGGGCGGTACGCCTATAGACTCGTTGTCTTTACCTCTGTTGGAGGTGGTTCTATCGGCATTGGTTTCCGCCCATCGGAGTCTCAGGTTCTGGACAGTTTCTTGTCAGTGGGTGAGGAAGCTGTTGATTCCGCTGCTGCTCATACCTGGATCAAGCTTTTCCGAAGTCTGAGGTGGACGAGTCCCAGCCATGACTTGGCCATCGATGTCCTTGCAGTGGTCCTCTATTCGCCTCCCTCCTGATACCACACCTTCATGATCTCGCGGCAATGTGTATCGGTCATCTGCTGGCCAAGGGAGTTCCGAAGGCCGTCTCTTTAGAGGAACTGTCTACACTCATTTGGCGGAAGATCCTCATGCCGTAGTGATAGTCACTTTTCCAGGGTCCGGTCCTATTGAATATAGGTATTATCGAGAAGGAGCTGCTCAGGCGGACGCCGTCCGTGAGGATCGTCTTGTTGAGTTCATTAGAAACTTCGAGCCGGAGAATGCGGCATCAATGGCGATAGATCAGTTTCGAGAGAAGCTGAATGCTGTGTGAGTAGTATAACTACTTCGATGGGAGACGACTCGATGATAGATACATCAAGTCTCCGTTTGAGAATATTTACGGCTGATGCTGATGCCGGCATGTTTCCATGCTGAGCTGCTGATGATGGTACACAAATGAGGTTGTGTTTGTTAAGTCGTTAATATGATTAGAGGCTACGTGCTATGCGGGGATGTGGATGTCTCACAGTAACGGTATCGTTCTAATGCCAAGCCGTTTGCTAGAGGCAGACGGGCCAACATCAGCATTAACTCCATCGTCCTCCCTCATGGTGGATGAGGACCCTGTTGAGCTCTCTGTGTATCTGAGTGCCTCGAGCCGTCGCTCTCTACAGGGTGGATTCTGCCATCTGACTGCGTGGATGTTCACATCGGGAGACAAAGGCGGTCAGACTCTTGTCAAGGACATTCCTTTGAAACTCCACGGTTCGCGTTCCGAGGCTCAGAGGACGGCTACTGCGCAGTTCACTTGGACTTGGGACCCTAAGGCTTGTTATGTCGTATTGTACACGTTCCCGGCCACAGCTCAGTCGTCATCTCAATCTCGCATTCGAGCTAGCAATTTCGCTAGGTGGGCGCTGAAGGCGATAGAGATGTGCACTCCTCGAGGGTTGGCCTCTTGGGTTGGTGCGTCAGATCCCAACATTGAGGAGAGCATTGAACGTGGTGGCTCTGTGGAAGGGAGTGTGAGAGACGCCTACGTTGTATACGTTTGGAGCGGCAAGGATGCTGACTTGACCGTCAAGGTTACGGCTTTGGCTCGGGGATATGATTTGGGTAAGGCTCTGCGATGCTCAGGAGTGTCAGAGAGAGGGAGTTGGTGCGGCTCATCGGCGTTGAGAAAAGTTATTGGGGTTGACGCTCAGCCAGATGGAGGGGATGAGTCGGATTATACTCATAGTACCTCTGGAGAGGAATGCCAGCTTCTTCGTTTGCTGGAACGCACGCTCGGAGGAGAGGAAACAACAAGGGCTCATCAGCGGCAATTCAAGCAACAGTCCCAGCCATCAGAGGCACATGAAGTATTTTCACTGCCGACAAGTGTTGTCCATGGTAAACCACCAATGGTACCAAGCCTAAGATTGGGAACGATAAGTGCTACTGCGGACCAGTCACGTTCCGGCAGAGGCTCTTCTTCTCGTCGTGAGACTCAGAGCGCTAGAGCGGGGCCGAGTGGGAGGAGACGTATGATTAGCCCTACCGAGGCCGATCTCTTGGAGAATCCACCGAAGTCAGCGAGATCCTCCGAGGCCTCTTCTGGGAGAAGGCAACAGAATGCTGTGGCACAACCGCTGAATATACCCCGGTGAGTGTAGCGAAATCACGCCTGTGGTGACTTTGTGGATGCTTGAGAGGTCTGGTTCCGCCATTTTAGGCCGAAGACTGATCTGGAGTTGATTCAGTCATTTGACCTGAGTCCAAATGCCGATAATTCACATCTTCCTGCTGAGGTTCAGAACGAGCTCCGTTTGCATCAGTACAGGTATCCGACAAGAGCGGTCTTAGCAGTTGCCAGTGTGTGCTTCTAAGGTCGCAATGTAGCGAGATTTTACCTGGGGCTCTCTACCTCGGGGGAGCGAAGGTTGCATCAAACTTGGAGATACTGGAGGAGAAGGGGATCACCCACATTGTTAACACGGCGGCTGATGTGTGCAGTAACTCATTTGCAAACAGGAACATCAAGTATGCTATTTGGGACAAATCTATCCGGAACCGTAGAAAAGGTTCTACCGGGATTTGAACCCAGATCGCCAGATTCAGAGTCTGGAGTGCTAACCGTTACACCATAGAACCAGATGTTTGGAGTCTCTCGGAGCTCCTGGGGATCGGATGTCCACTGCCTGTGTCCAGGTATTTGACCTTATTCCTGAAGGATGCGAGAGACGAGCCTATGCTCCCTGCAGTGCTCTATTGCACAATGCTGTGGATTCATTCCGCGATCACGGAAGCAAAAGGCAAAGTTCTAGTCCATTGCTTTGAGGGAGTAGGATGGTGTTTGAAGGGGATGATCATTACTCTACGGATTTTTCAGGTTAGCAGGAGCTCTACAGTTGTCATCGCATATCTGATGTGGCTCAGAGCTTGGACGTACAACCAGGCCTTTAACTGGGTCAAAGCTATTCGGTGCGCTATTCAATGGGACTCGGATGGTATCATAGACTGCTCCTCTGAGTGGTTCCCTCAGGCCTATCTGTAGCCCGAACACGGGATTCACTTGTATTCTGATAGTCTTCGGCAAGAAGCTCGAGAGCGCGAGAGGGCCTCAAACCTTGATGGAGGCGACCACGGCTTATCCCACCATCTCGAGGGTCACGGTGAGTTTCGCTTCTGCTTGTACTTCGAGGGAGGTCTCTACTACTGTTTGAAGTGCCGTAGGTACACTCTCTGCGTACCCTTCCTACAGCTGCGGCACTCATGATCGCGTTGCCAGTCTCAGCAGGATCGGCTTTGGGTGCCGAAGCCCCCACGATACCGTTGAAAATTGATTCTCGGTGGGTAGCGCTCACTATGGCTTGCATGCAGTATACTGAGAACTGTTTACAGATTCGCCTATATTCTGCAACACGACAGGTCGCTCGTCATTTTGCGGTCAGAAGCAACGAGAGCCGAGATAATCGATACGGCAATCGCCGAGCATTTGCGCCGAGTACTGAAGTTTCTCTCCTCGAGGAGTCTACTACCATGACTGAGCTTCAAATCGGCTATACGGCGAATCATTCAGGTTCGAATTGTCGAGTTTGGCTGCGATGAAGATGGTCCATTGGAAGTCTTTGAAATATTTATTGATGGTGAAGTTGATAATGAATCGAGGGCAGCTCTTGGGAAGATGATTTCCCCGAGTAAGCATACCGCGGGTCAGAGAGAGGTTGATGTGCCGCTCATAGGCTCCGCAATCACTGAACTCTCTCTGGAGTCTCTCATACAAACGATTACGAATTCAGCGTGGGATGAAGAGTATGGTGATGCCAGCGATTTCATCCATGGTACTGCTCGGAGAGCAGATACAATGCTATAACCGAGAGCGAAAGAAGACCTTTGGATGGCACTGAGAAGCAGAGTATGACACATGTGGCAGATTATGTAAGTAGATGAAGATAATAAGCTGTGGAAGGGTGGTCGATAGGTACCGCCAGTAGGCCGCGAGATCCTCTCCCTTGGCGCGGGGAAACCAACTCTTGCCAAAGATCATGAGGCTCGGGAATATGATGTAGCGGGCGGGGACGCTGACGGAAAGACAGAGGTTTACTGCTATCCCGACGTAGAGTACTCCAGTCGGCTAACACAGTAATTCGTGTTTACCTTGGCTGCATCAGTGGATCTCCTGATGTAGATTCGAGCCAGATGAGCTTGAGGAGGGTGAAGTCTTCATTATATTCGTGCCACGTCGGAAGCTGCTGGTCATTTGGGTGGGCGAGGGCAGTGCTCAGGTCGGTGATGAACTATGATTACGCATTAGCGACTCTCATACTCCTCTGCAGCCACCGGACCAACGAATCGAGAGTATACGCAAGATCCTCTGCGAGCGGCATAATGATATGGATGAATCGTCAGTTGAAGTTGAAGTAGTATATCAAGGCGAAGAGATGGATGAGTTCGAGGAGTACTTTGATGATGATTAGTATCATTCATGACACTGGTATTGCCAGCGACTGATGATGTCTCATTTGAATGACACCTACTACTGTTGCTGCGGTAACCCGGATATTACCATGCACTCATATCCAATACAATACTGTTGAGTTTATGATGGAGTCTACCAACTGTTGCTCGCAAATCTTGCAAATCTTGCATTTCCTCAACGCCTATTCTTCACGGACACGCAGTGCTTCAAGAATTCCGAATTGATGTTTTGTAATCGCGAGTTAATATTTGTGAATAAGAATCAAATGCCAAGTCCCGAACAACACTTATCACCAACAACTCAACCCCCTGTTGGCTGTTCTTCTTGGCACGGCACAGATGCCCAACTTTCCTCAGAGTCGATCAGTCCCCCTGGCCGTGGTCCGGCCTCTACGACCTCAGCCTCGAGCGGTGACAGTACGCTCAGTCGGAGGGTGAAATTTGGCGGTTACCCGTCGTTCGATCCTACGGTTGGTAGCGAGTCTGTGGTCAGCGGAGTTCAGTCTCTCGAGTGTTGTGGTGACACGGACGATCTGGAGGAACGGATAGCTGCTCTCTCGAATGATGTTTCACAGGCTCATATTGAGCTCAACGAAGAGCGGCAGAAGCGGCGGCTCTTGGAGCTGGAGAATGAGACGTTGAAGTTGAAGGTGTTGTCTTTGACTATGATGAACCCAGAAGCCGCAGCCGCGCTGGAAGCTGCTGTTGACGATGGTTATGATAGCGGCAATAGTCTGGACCTCTCGCAGATCTATCTCGGGAGTAATGCGAGCCATCATAATCGTAATCGAGCGATGACGGCAGTCGAGTCTCAACAATCATTACCCATGTGCCGTAAGGCCACCGTGGATGATGCTATTTTGGCCATGGAATTCGAGAATAAGGAGGATGTGCTGGTTGTACGCCACATAGGGAGTCTCGGTTTCGGTCCGGCTCAAACATTGGCTGCATACTTCTCAGTATTTGGTAGAGTACAGGAGGTCATAGAGATTGAGGACAGAGACGAAGCTATCGTTGTCATGGCCGGTGGTCCTGGTAGCACTTCATTCTTCCCCCACGGTGTTAAAGTGGTCAGTGGAGGCGAGGTTGAAATCACTTCTTACGACGAGGCTTTGTCAGCGGGTTGGCTTTCGGATGCTCCGACTCACGATACCGATTCTCGATTCTCGATGTCGATGAATAGCAGTGGTCGTCTTGGCAGTTCGTCGCCTCTCTATGGCTGGCAAGTGAAGACTCCCAGGGGCCCGGTGACCCACCAGAACTCGCTGAGGAGTCATGCCCAGACGTGGGATGCTAGCAGCTCGCTGCCGGAGTCATCAAAGGCGACTGATGCCGGCGAGCCGCCACGGATGAATCTGTTGGAGGCGTTGCAAGTCTTTAATGCAGAGGATGAGAAAAGGGTTTTCACCGTTCGGAAGGTGCACAAGTTGGGCTTCAAGTCACAGCATGCCTTAAGGCAGTACTTCAGCCAGTTCGGTAGGGTGAAGGATGTTGTTCTCCTCCCGATGAGGGCCAAGCCGAAGCCAGGCCCGAGCGGTCAAGTTCGTGGTGTTCGCCCGAGTTCGATGGGCTTTGTGGTCATGCAACGCCCTGAAGATGTGCAGAAGGTCCTCGCATACGGAGGTGTCCATACGATCAAGGGCTGGCCTATCGAGGTTCGACCCTTCGTACGACCTAGCGATAAACGAGATTCGAAGGTTAGTACTCCTGGTGACGGGTCGCCGAAGAATAACAGCAGCGACTAAGCCTGTGAAAGCCGAGGCCACGCTGAATGCCGTTTCCTTGGTCGTAATATACTCTGAATGATTCTGTTTCTATCTCATACCTTTTCTTCTCTTGCTGATTTGTATCATCATCATTACCAAACTAGAGTAATAGCACCTTACGCCCTGTGTCGTTGACACGGAGTTTCTCTATCACCAGTTCACCTCACGACATCTATCCCCGCCATGGGGCTATTGAAGCCAACTAGCAACAAACCTCGGTAACGAGTGCTTTCTGGCTCTCCCCCTTGGCGTGGTTGACGACCCGAGGTGATTGTGATCTCTCTGAAGTTCTCCTCTATCTGTGCTTTTAAATTTCACTCACTCATCATCATGCCGTGCTCATTTTTGGGTCGGCCAATATAACTTCACAAAGCAGCGGCGAGGAGTTTCTGATTCCCCCGCAAATGCTTAAAACTGGTGCGAACTGTTCTATATATCATCATCATCATCGTAAAGAGGCAAGGCCTTCTTTTCTATCATCATAATGCTGATAGTTTTTACTATAGTGATGTGTCTATCTCTAACCCTTGTAGATGTATTCGGAATCGAGTCTTAGAAGTTACGAGTGGTTCAGTCCGCTTCTCTTCGCTATGTTTTATAACTGTCCTTGATTCTGACCCCACCGATTTTGGTGATACGTCCATCGAGTTGACAGTAGCGCTTTACTCAACATGTATGGGGCTGCCAAAGCCTCGTACTGCCCGGTTGGTGACTCGAGGACGATATCCCCTGTTGACGATGAGCGCCAAGTTGGTGTTATGAACAATTGTGTTTCCCTAGCGCTTGTAGTGTCAGTAACAGCAGTAGTTGTCTGTCGTAGTATTAGCGTAAGGCATTTCATCACCGTCTACAGTGCTCTCCTTCTGGAAGTGTCGGGCGAAATCGTCCCGGAGCGTAAGCGAAGTCATTGTTACTGTTGCAAGTATTGTGCGTTGTCGCTATCCCATTTTCGCGTGGTGCTTTCCTCTCTGCCATAGCGCTAGGTTGCGTTACTAGTCGTAACCGGCGAGTTAGAAGCGTCGAACCTTCAGCATGTTCCATGGAGAATAAGGCGTCGTCATCTGAAGCTGTCGAGCGCTTCTTCGCGGACTTCGACCTCGGGTCCACGGATCACATGTCTAGCGGAGATTCCTATTTCGACTCGCACAACCAGAAAGAGAGTTATGAAGTAGGTTACCACTGATGATGGTAAAGGAGATGCACTGGTCGACTCCAGGAGCTCCTCAACGATGAAGTTCATCAAGAAGCTTATCGTAGAGCTATACTCGCCAATAAGGACCTTTTCGCCGACCGCATCGTCCTAGTGGTCGGATGCGGTTTAGGCTCGGCGCCATATGTGGCGGCCGAAGCCGGAGCTAAGATGGTTTTAGCACAAGAGAGAAATCAAGTAAGTCCATGCATTGGTCCGTCAATGGTCCGGAATGGATGTCCTGTTGCATGTGTTCTTCTCAAGACAGGTCGCTACGTCCCCGAGATCGCTCGGTTGAATGATTATGATAATATCACCAACGTCAGAGGTGACGTTAAGGACCCTGGGTTTACCTTACCGTATGGTATTACCGAGGTAGCATCTTCAACTGCAGTGCTATTCACAAGCTGGGTGTCAGGTTGACATCATTGTGTCGGAGCCTATGAGCTACTTGTTGCTGCACGAGTCTCGTATCCGAGACGTTATTGTGGCTCGTGAGCGGTTTTTGAAACCTGGCGGCAAAATGTTCCCTAATCGGTAGTGGGGAATGTGACTCGGGGATGCTTCGGAATTACTATGCGCCGTTGGTGGATGTATTGGTCAATACCCACTGCGGCTTGAAGGGTCGCTCCCACTGCCAGGTTTACCATGCACCTTTGCGCTGTAGCAGCTCCGCAAGAGTATACTATGTGGAAGGAGTTCTGGCAAGATATTGGTGGATTCGATTTCTCAGAGTAAGAGTTAGCTCTATATGCTTGCACTACTGATGTCTCTCTCTGACCAGTCCTTGTCTACGGCTCACTCTGGGAACTCCTCTCGTATGCTCAGCTTCACACATCGGTTGCGATAGGGATGATGAAAATGGAGGTACGAACTGCAAAGCACAAACCGCCGAGTTGCATCTACGCCGATTCTTAGATGCGTGGCAGAAAAGTCGATTGACATCAACTTCAGCAGAGCTTTTTACTGTGGATTTGCTGACAGCTCCTGCAGACCTCGCAACGTGGCCAGAGCTACTCTGTGGAGAGTTTGAGATCTCACCCCGAGTAGATGAGCGAGATGTAGATATGCGAGATGTTCATGTAGTAGGGGATACCAGGATCAATGCCGCCCTTGATTTCATCGTTTCTGTGCCAGTGGTGGGATAGAGACGCGTTTGAGCATGAACACCGCGTCGATGCACTAGCAGTATGGTTTGATGTGAAGTTCGATCATGCCTTTGTTCCCGTTGAGTACTCCACTGGCCCTGAGGCCCCGTGGACTTGTTGGCAACAGACCATATTACGGGTAAAGACACTCTAATATGTGCACTAATAGTGATACACTTGCTTGGTTTCAGTTACCAACATTTGCATTCAACAATGTTGAAGACTCGGATCGGCCTCCAGAAGCTCCAGCAGTGCTGCTACCTGGTAGGACCATCAGAGGGCGTATAGCCTTCTGCCAGGCCTCACCTAATCGGCGAGATATAGATGTGAAGATCTCTATGGAAGATGGCCGTGGGGGAAACATCAATACGTATTACACATTGCAGTGATTCTGTGTTTCTAAAGCATGTTGCTACACTTTCGTTTAAGTTGGGTTGGCTCGGTGAAAGACTATCATACGGTCTTTTGGAGTCGTTGCCGCTGCTCCCAGATTACTGGAAGTGCCTCAGAGGCTCAATCCGTTAAGGCCTTTCCAGCGACCGAATTTTCGCTACTTAGCCACGGTGGCTGTGCTGTCATCACTGTCACTCTCCACTCTTCCGGTCGATGCGCTAGGGCACATCATGGCCCTCATTGGCACTGTGCATCATGGGTAGCCTGTCAGCAGTCGCAGGTAGAGCCCTTCATGGAAGCGTCATCCAGTGGCAGGACGAGTGAGCTCTTGGGAGAATTGCGAACGACTAACCTAGCTCAAGAGAGAGTCCTTCAGTGATTTGGAGTTCCATCAAATCAAGCAGCTCCAAACAACGATCGAGATAGAGGTGCAAGGAATACGTAGGTCACCTATTCCTTGCACTTCCATCTTATTTAGGTGGCTGATCTTAACCGACAACCTCACTAACTCCATTATCATGGATGTTCTGGAGGCGATAGTCATCACCATGAGGTCAGCAGGATAATTTCAGAGTCCCGGGTGATCGGCTCATGAAGCTCGTACTTTGTGTCTCCGGCGATATCGTCCGATAGTACTCATTTTGACGGAGAACTAGTAGCGACTTTTAACACCCTCCGGCCCGTCTCGAGAACGCAAGTTAAATAACCAGACTCTGGTTTCGACCTTAGGCATCCCATGATATGGGTGTTTCAGCACCTCATAAAGTCTCTGGGCAACTCTCGATTCTTATGGTGTGAAGTTAACTGAGTCTGTTCGATTCTATCGTTAAGCACAAGAGACCCTGCGGATGTCAATGAGCTCTCAGGAAACTTAATTGAGCATAGCAAATCCCCATTGACAACATTCTTAACACAACAAAGCCGAGTGACTTCTATCTGCATCACAACGTGAGCGCGAACATGTTATGGATACTCAATCTAATGCGACGAGTGTATTTGTTTCGTGAGCGAGTCTCTGACACTTGATCAGAATTATAGGGAAAGCAATGCTGTCACCAACGTAACCAGTGATGCTACAGTGGTAGCGGAGATTGCCGTTGCCGAGTTCTAAGAAACGGGTCAGTTGAGAACTTCATTCCTACAAGGCGTCGTACCTTGGTTGAAGTTGCCGGAGTTGCCTGGCTCGCATCGGCCTCTTTAGTGGGAGGGAGAGCAGCAACCTGACAGAAAAGAGGAGCATCCAATCCGAGTTCTAAACCCACATCCAGTGCTATAACGTGAACATACCTTGGGATCCGAGACTTCCACTTCATCCTCCGCTGTCATATCCACCTGCCCCTCGCCTGCATGCGGAGGAGTGTGTGGTTTAACGGGAACCGCCTTGGTAGTCGGTTCAGGAGTACTCTGTTTCCGTGTGCTCGTAGAAATAGGAGTTGGCTGCTGAGATGGCTCTTGCGGTCGGGCGCCGCTGTTCTGTCGTGTCGGCTCTTGTGTTCTGGTGTTGGTGTTATCTTGCGCATAGCGTATCGGCATCCTCGTCTCCGGCTCCATGCTGGAAGCACTTGGTAAAATTTCGGTGGTAGCATCAGGAGCTGAAGTAGTGATAGGAGCTGTCCCATCATCTGCGTCGTTGGTTGCATCTAGGTAAGCGAATCGTATTTCTGTGGCCGTACGGTTTATCCTAGGATACCTTCTCCTTCGCTTTCCTCCTCTGTGCTACTTTCCTTATTGACAGTCGAAGCTCCGGTCTCTTGCGGTGACATCACTAAAAATGCTCAAATAGTCTTCGATATCATACAGTGGAAGTACCTTCTTCGAGAGCCGCTGGGGCGTGCTCTAATATTAGTCCCTTTGGTATTTGCTCTCTTGCTGCGCACATACGAGATATTGTTTGGGGAACTGAAAGCCCCATGCTGCCTTCTCTGACCATCTCGGTGCATGCCCGGTCGTCATCAGTTGGGCTGGAAAAGTAGACGATCCTAGAGGCAACTGTAAATGACAACCCAGAGGTTCCTTTTGGGGGGACTCACTCGGACTTTCCTTGTGCATCATCACAACGGAATGCCACAACCCAAGAGCCTTCAGGAGAGTGGTATATGGCGACGACAGGTCGCGAGGACTTGCCATCCGACAGCCCGCAGAGATTGGGGGCGAAGGATACGATCTACAACGATAATCGATTTCGAGACTAATGACCACGATTCTATATCCCACCGAGTCCTCCGAGTTGCTCCAGCCGGATCCGTTCGATTCCATGTCCACTGTGGTAGAATTATTTTCGCTCTTCTCTCCAAGCTCCTCTTCAGTCGTTGGCTCTTGTTCGCTTTCATCAGCTGCTGCTTGGGCCTCGTCGCCGGATTTCTCAGACTTATCGGTAGACATTGCTAAGGAAGACGAATCAATTGTTACTATGATCAGCTTGTGATCTTCACCATTCACGAGCGGGGTTGGGGGTTCCTCCAAGACGAACCTAGGTGGAATCTGGTGCCTTCTGGCGCACATTAGAGAAGTCATCTTCGCAACAGGAAACTCTCCACTCTGTCTCCTCAACATAGTAACGCACTCTACATTACTGTTGTCCGGAGCAGAGAAGTAGTAAACTCTGAAAGCCCGTACATACTTATAGCGGATAGTTCACAATTGGACACCAACCTGGCGGTCTCGTTATGGGAAGCTCCACATCGGAAGGCAAAAGTCCACCCACCAGTCGGGAGGCGGTAGATCGCAGCTGCGAGCTCCGAAGCCTTGCCGTCAGACAAACCACAAAGGTTAGGAGCAAGCGATACGACCTACCATAAACAACAGTGTAGGTCAAACGAAGGGATGCTGGATTCAATGGGCGTGGTTCACGTGAAAGTGTTCACACCGTTCGATCTTCATCGGCCGTGTTGAAATACATGTTTGCTTTCCACAGCTGAGTTTAGGAGTTTCCTTACTAATCATAGAAGTTCACATACGAGTTCTGGTAGGCGTGTACAGAAACCAATACGAATTTCCCAAAATTCCCTCGAAACTCTCATATCGTCACCAACACATGTGGTTGACCATGTGCATATTTCCTCACACTGTTAACCGGATGCGATAAGACACCGGCGAGGTCGCCTTAGATCAGACCACGCGACAGCCTCCAAACTCACTGAGTTCTCCCATTCACTGGAACCAGTTTTCCTCATCTTGTGGAGCATGCCTTGTCGGTAACTCGAAGTGGGTTCACTCTCGACATTGTGCTTGGGGTTGTTGACGGCAGAACCAATCTTTCTCCTCAAACTGTGGTGGTAGTCGAATTTTGGGTTGATCATGGATGGAGGTTTGCTGCCATTCCCGCATACAATCTCGACAGCTTCCTCTGCACTTGCGGTATCCGGAATAGGAAAACTCTCCAGAACTTCCCGGCAAGTGGCATCACGAGCACTCATTATTTGCATACGACGATTGTTTGTCTGTTTCTGAGGGCCACCCTTGTTCATCAGTCGCTTCAGCTGCTGCTGACAGGGTCCAGATAACTCCCAGTGTCCTTCCCCTATCTTCGTGATGATTATGGCAGGAGGACTGATGCGAGAGATGGAGATTCCGCATTTGACATGCGAACCAGAATGGTCCTCTGGTATCTACGAAGCATGGCATTTGAGATTACCGCGAGACTCATTAGACTCACAGCTTGCTTCCAAGGAGTGGTAAGTCCACGCTTGAACTCTGGGAGCCAGAAGGATCTGAGGTATCAGAGACTGATATGGACGAGCCGGACGGATAGCCTCACCCGGTCTGCCCGATGAGAAGAGCCATGGATAAGCATCTGCTTAGGGTCTGCATTGCGCGAAGGCTTGAAAAGAAAAAGGGGCCTGTAGCAGAGGGAGCATCCGGCAAGGAAGTGGTCCATTCACAACTCAGCTCAGCCCGATCTAAAATGACACAGTGCATGCACATGTATATGTTCTAGCCGAAAGCGGCCTGGAAAACGATGCGTTAAACAGCATAAAGCGCAGTCAACAAAAGCATACTCAAGATACCGGATGGACAAGCCAGGGGACGCCCACTCGACCTCTGAGAAAAGGAATTCATAAAATACCACACATCGCTCAAGTAGTGCCATTCGAACTAACGCCTACCGTACTTCGGCTAGTTGCCTCTGGAAGGCTTCCCGGGGATGCAAAACACTTTCGATAACTCGTTTATCATCCGCCGTGATGAGAATCCTGGAGTTATCTCCTTTCTGAGAAAGGCGACATAGCTCGTGCAAGGAGTGGCAGAAACTTGACGTTTCTTACAGGTTCGATTCTCGAGACTCTGTTCAGCTTTATGAGCTGATCTCCAAATACAGTCGGCTCAGTATATGTGATATTTTGATGGTTATCAATACTGTTCAGACTGGCGCTGGGAATTGGATTGGATTCTCGTTCTCCAGTGCTGGAACTGTGTGTAGCTGAGTCGCGCCTCCTTGCGTCAGATTCATCAGTCTCGGACGTAGTCATATCGGTGTCTAAAGGGTTAGGAGCGAAGTAATTTCGGGCCACATGATGCGATCGAAGACTCTCCCGCTCAGAGAAATGGGAGTGAATTCCAACGGAGAGGCCTCATTACGGCGGGTGACCTACTGTGGGGAATTCCACCTGGACGACCTGCCCTGCTGTTGCTGTGACTGCTGGTTTCGGAGTTCTTGAACACCGACGGCTTGAGATTGAATGCTGTGAAGTATTCGTTAACTCCCATGAGACGCATTGTAATAGCGCTACCTTCCTCCAGCGGCCTGGGAGGTTGTTCGAGTTTGTATTCCCGAAGGAGCGCATCGAGAGAATTGCAGAGCTCTTCAATGCCCTGTAAGCCCGGGAGATCACCGACACTTGGGGTCGAGCTGAGATACTCCTTGCAATCTCCCCTCAGTCCGCGGCCAAGCTTGACAAAGTGGGTCCTGAGAGGTTAACCCGTATCCCACCTCCGACCTTAGACCTGTTTACTTCAACTGTTGAGTGTTGATGTCCTTACACTTGAGCCCCATCGACCACTGATCGTCGACTGGAGCGAACAGTCCAAGGGAGAGCCCAGGCTCACCGGGGTGATAAATACCACAAAGATTTGAATCAACTGATACAATCTGAGGGACATCGTCCAGTCGTGAGGGATACCATAGACGCAGCAGGTTACCGAGTCTCGCCAAGACTGTCCTCCTGTGATGGTCTTCGAAGTGTCCGTACTAGTACTATGGTCCCCTAAGAGATCAAAAAGAGCATCAACCGAAAGAGACAACTCCACTATAAGAACAGCATGGCGCTACAAGCACGGAGGAGTAGAATGATGAATTATGGTTGTCCGAATGACATAAATGATCGAATATCTACCCCAGGTAGGCTACCAATAACTTCCACGGTAGTGGTTGAAGGTTTGACCAGCGATGTCGTGGTTGACACTCTTTTTGTTGGTCTTGTCGTAGTGGTCGTTCTCATCGTCGTCGTAGTTGTTGTTGTTGTTGTTCTTGTCGTAGTAGTTGTTGTCGTAGTGGTCGTTCTCATCGTCGTCGTAGCTGTTGTTGTTCTTGTCGTAGCTGTTGTTGGTCTTGTCGTCGTTGTTGGTATAGTCGCCGTGGCCGGCTCTCGTTCATCATCAGGAATCGGTCTTGTCTCCGGAGTCCATCTGGCTCCACTATTGAGTTCGTCTTTCGTCGCTTCAGTTGGTCCGGCCTGTACGCCAATATCCGGCACTGAATGAAGTTATAATGCAAGATATGATCGGTTCGGTACTGTACCTTCCGAGGACTCATTTGAAGCGTCATCCGCTACGCCAGTCTCCTGATTCTTCACAGGCTCTTCCCATTTCCGAGATTGAACTAAGACACGAAGATTAGCCTTACCCTATCTCCATTTGCTTTGGCCAAGGGGCAGCGACGGGGTACTCACGACTTACAGTAGCTAGCATCACATATAGTCTTTTCGGCCCACTCGAGTGATTCTCCTGGGATGAATCCAACCGCTCGGAAGTATTGTATGCACCATTCCCTGTTGTGAGGGCCAGGGATGTCCAAGTCTTTGGGTACGTAGTTGATGTTTCGGAAAGAGTTAAACCCCTTTCGATGGCAATTAGTGATGACATAACCTCCCGGTTTAATCATCATCTTTACAGACTCAGTTGATCCAAGATCGCAGCGATCATGATAAGCGTAATAGGATGTTTGTTTTTCCCAGGTCGTTATCGGTCTTGCAGTTGTCGTCGTTGTTGTTGTGGTAGTAGTAGAGGTAGTCGTGGTAGTCGTGGTAGTCGTAGTTGTTGTTGTTGTTGTCGTTGTGGTGGTGGTGGTTGTTGTGGTTGTTGTTGTGGTGGTGGTTGTTGTTGTTGTTGTTGTTGTTGTTGTTGTTGTTGTTGTTGTTGTAGTTGTTGTCGGGATTGTCGCCTCCCTTGTGCTACTGTTACCTACGCTGATGTCTTGGCCCGACGTCCGACCGTTATTAGTCGTCGTATCTGCTTGGCAAAACTAGCTTTCATGAACTTGCGACAACCAATGAAGCCCTCACCTTTAGCGAGCTTGTTCGCGACATCCTCATCGGCTCGATCTCCCTTGGGCTCCTTCCATTTCCCCGATCGGACTGCCAAAGGAAACAAACCATTTATGCAGAACTTGCTGGTTTATGCGGTCCGATCGGCCGTCAAGAGCGCGACGATCAGGACTTACAGTAGTTGGCGTCACACATGGTCTTCCGGGCCCAGTCGAGGGACTTCCCAGGAAGGAAGCCAACCGCTCGGAAGTACTGTATACACCACTCTTTGTTGTGGGGTCCAGGGATATCCAGATTATTAGGAACGTAGCCGATGGTTCGGAAGGAGTTACGCCCTTTCCGATCACAATTAGTGATAACGTATTTTCGGAACTTTATCATGATTTTCACAGACTCGGTTGTCCCGAGATCGCAGCGGTCATGATAAGCATAATAGGATGCTTGTTCTTCCCACGTCATGCCGGGTCTCACCGGTATCTCTGAGGTCCTGACGCACAAGAACGATGGCTCTGATGGGATCCTGAGGGACGTACCAGGTGTGAACTTCGACAGACAAGAGGAGCGTGACGGCGATGAAGAGGCCTGATGTTGCCATGAAGAAATGACTAACAAAAGAACTGACGGCAGCGATAACACCCATCGCGGGTAAGGGGGTAGTCCTAGGTCTTCAGAGCTTACAAGGCTCTCTTGCTATCAGAGACATCCGACGGGGAAGGTTGCCTTCCATTCAACTACTTTCCCACTGTAAATACTCAGTAGGGTTGTTAGATGTAAATGGGAAGTTCTCGAGAATGCCGCACATGGACGCAGTATCCTCGCTATCGTAGTAGGAATAATAGAGCACTGATTGATCCTGGGACATGCTGAACGCTGCCGATCCTGGTCCAGAACGCCTGAGGCTGTAACCTTCTGGTATTTGGAGTCACCTGCCATGCCAAAATTAGAAAGCAGCGACGCAGCGATAAAACAGTCGACATCAACATCTAGCTGATTCAAGTTGTTTGTCGAGAGAGATGTGCTGCGGGCATGGGGCGATGTTCCTAGATCAAAACTTGAGAAGTATTGTATTGATACCGACTGACCCAATGAATGTGAAGGCGGTGCCACATTCTACTATGTGAAAGAACGATGCTGTGATTCACGCCACGTACAGCGCTACTCTGACTCTTGACAGTTGATTCCCTGACAGGCTGTAGTGAGAGAAATTGTTCCTGCGGATTGTAGGCTAATTGATGATGGTCGACTACCAAAGTAAGGCTACTACCCAAGCTCGGGAGTTCCAGAAGAACTACTTCGAGCGACCTCGAAAACCGCGCGATCGCGACCGTTTGATGATGAGAGAACTCGCCCCGTTGTTGCGCCTGCCTTGCGCTCGAAAACCAATGTGTTTCCATCGTGTGCGCTCCCAGAAGATGTGCTGTATCACAGCATCCCCATCGCCTCTCAGCTCTATTTACGCTCCGAGTCACGAGTGTGTTATCCGAACTATTGTTACTAACTCAACATGAATCGAACTCTGTAGAACAACCACCATTGTCATACTCATGAGAACATCAAACCACTCAGATCGGGCCTAGCTCTTCTCCACAGAGACGACAGGCTTTGCTTCGCGAGCTCCCTTACTCTTATACAAGTAGGCTGATCTTCCGAGTGTACTCACGAATTTCACCCGATTAAAATCTTCCCTCGAGAGTTACCGTAATGCAGCTCTCCATCATTCGAGCGCTCTACTTCACGATGCAACTCTGGAAGGATGTCACTAATGTCGTAGTTTTAACTAGAGATGTCATGCTTCCCAAGCCGCAAGCTTATCGCCGTAATCATTGTCCAGTTTGGCGATTTATTTAAGTTCTTTCCACACTCGCACAATCACTTACAAGATTACTTCAGCTCTCGTCGCCTTGTTTGCATGCCTGCTCACGGCAGTGTGAGTCTCCACAAATTCTTGTCTTCTACCCCCTAGTAGTAATAGAGGTATTCTGCCTGATGTGAACATTGACCAATTCCCACTGAAAAGCTGCTGTTAAACCTCTGCGAGCCGACTGACCTTATTGGTGAAGTCGCTAGTCTTCCCTCTCTTCCTCCTTCATTCCGCGACTTCGTGCGCAAGCGTCCTTCGCTCATCGGAATGTTTACACCATAACACCGTGATGCTGTCGAGGAGCTCCAAGATACACTCAGAAAACTAGATCACTCACGTTACATCGTCAGTGTTACTCCCTGCAGGGATAGTCACAAACTCCACGGCATTTTTTCCGGGAGATGCCTGAGGCTCGCCACTCTTGCTATCGACATGATCCATAGAAGGAGATTTAGAGTGAACTATCGGTATGGTGAGGGAAGGCATAATAGACTACGACCAACATGTAACAACCCGCCACTATTTTCTCACTGAATGATAACCGCGAACACGCATGGCGGACCAGTACAGCTTTATAATAGTAGCTAAGGAGGCACCTCACCTGTGGGTGCTACATCACTGGACATCACATGCGCCATGTCAAGTGGAATTGAGCAACTTTCATCGAAAAGTTCCGCGGCGATAGCTTCTTCGTCATCATCCTCTCCATGGTGCACCTTAGTAAACTCACGCCACCAAGCAACTAGCAGCGGATTTGTGACTGAGTGGATGAACTAATCATAACATGACAGTACCACTGAGATGACCTACGGAGGTCCAGCACAGCTTTCTTCAAGTTCATTGCTCTCTGTCCTTCGCCGTCACCACCTTCCTTCTTCGATTCCTGAACACTCATTCACATTCGTTCAAGATACTTTCTGATGTACCCTCAGAGCATGCTTCTTTAAAGCAGCTTCCCGCTTGCCTTCCTTAGTCCGAGCTTCGCGCTCTTTCAAGCTATTCATGAGCCGTCGAATATGGAACTGAGAAATTGCCTGCGGATAGAGCAGTAAGGCTCCCCCTCACCATTCCGAGCACGCATGGGATCACCACCAGCAGGGACATCACTGTCTGAGACAATGATAATACTAGCATTGCTAGCCATACCCCATGCACGTACAAAGCTGATCGCCGTGAATGCCAAGTTCCGTCCGCCTCGTCGTAATCGAACAGAAGTAGCTTGGACGGCCTCATCTCCTGTTGGCTGTAGGTAGCGGAGGAGGAATTCCATTCATTGGATCATTAACTGTCAATCAACCTTACATCCATTCTAACTCGAGATAAGGTAGCCTTATTGAACAAGGAATGTGGTAAATGCATACATGCGAACAACAATGACTATCCAGCATCATCACCTACTCTAAGACAGCATCGAAAGCACCACTAGTGCTGTAGAAATCATCCTTGCACTTTCGAGTAATGCCATAGTACTGAGAAAATGACCTGACAATCTTGAAATGGTGATTTTTCTTGTCTCACCTCGGTGTTTTGTAGCGACTTTGGTGGCAATGGAAATCTTCGTTCGACATTGGTACCGAATATACTGGGTTTAACAGGACGGGGGTCGTTCTGGAGAGGAAGCAGAAAGTCCCATACGATGGACTGATATAACCGACACGCTCACCTTGCATTCCAGCTCCTCATGAGGAGCGTAAACAAAGCCAAAACTGAAGATGGCCTTTCGATAGTTCTCGAGCGTCGGAATAGGTTTGACCGACTGAAAAGAATCATCTCCCTCGAGAAAGGGTGCCCAAGAATGTTACCTTGCCGATAGAGTCTACCCAGTCACTACCAATGGCAGCTGCCACGGCTGCTGGAGGTGGCCCTTTTGTTATCGAACATGACTTATATCTAAGACTCATCCCACATGCTAAAGTGAGAAGCAGTGGCCTCACGTTTCCGATGGTGGAATAGGCCTAGCTTCCGAGAGGTCCATTTCCTTCAGCCACTTTGTTTGGACGCCTATCTCCTTAGCTATCACCTCAGCGAATTGCATAGCAGCTTGATTATCCATGGTCGTCGTAAATCAAAAGCGTCTCAATTTTTCCAGTTTGAATCATGCGCTGACATTCGCGCACGCCCCGAAACCGGTGAAACCTACGCACCTAGGCGTAACTTACACTGAATGGTCGAGAGGTTAGGTGGGATGATTTCCGGAAGTCAGATGGAATTCAGGCAGTGCCTGGGATCTCAAACTGTGCCGCATGGACTCTAGCTATCCGCTAGTAAAGCAAACTGAGGTGATGAAGTCGGTCGACACGTGGTACACGAAGGACTGAGAGTCTGTTTTATGGATACTTTGCGATGGTGAACGTCCGAGCGCCTTCCGAAACCCCATCTTATGTAGGGTGGCCTTCTGCTTGCTTCTCTGATTCCGAGTTAGATTTCGTAACAGTCAATAAATTGCTATCGTCACCTGTGCCTTCTGCGGTGACTGTGCTTTCGGAAGCTTTCTCAGAATCCATCTATATGAGGTTCCGATTTCCACCTAGACTACCCTCGATTCTCCAGTGTGATGGTAGAGAGTATTCATATCGATATCCTTGTACCTTTTCTTTGGCTTTTATCGGTTGTATAGTATTCATCCAGGCTGCAAACGATAACCCTATGACCTCCCAAGATGGTGACCCAAGATGACGGAAAGTGATCATCGGACTCAACACACAGTGTGTTACGCACTGCTAATCTTCAGGAATGATCGTCGGTGTACCTTCTACTGAGTAAGTTTTGGTTTATTTTAATACTTCAAATGGCCACGGCGCCGGCTCTAGCAGCTGCAAGACTTGATGCTCTGCATGGTCTGCTCGGCGACATGTGTGATGACTTGGTGGACCCTATATGGAACTATCTTCCTCCGACTTACCCTAATGGTTGCACTCACATCAAAGGTACACGACTCCCTGATGCTTTCGCCCCCCTCGAGTTTGACTTGATTGACTCGGTCGAACCCACTGAGATGCTAGGCATGATCGGCCCAAGTACTGTTGTCGTTGCTTCTTTGCAAGGCGGCCCGCAAGTGGGTCCGCATCCGCTGTTGGGTGGGTTTGGGATCGACCCTGCTCGCCAGATACCAATGAACGATGCGAGTCAGAAATCTCCCGAGGTAGTCTGTCACCTTGAAGGTGTATTGCAGCATGGTTGTCTGGTCAATGGGCAGCTCTATTACACTCTTATGGATGACCCTATTCACCTTCTCAGAAGACCTGTCCTACGAGGGCCATCCGCCCCAGCGATCATGGAGCTTCCGGAACAATGCCGTCAACTGAAACCAGTTAAGGACTGCCTCTTCCTTGTTGGCATGGAGACTGATTGGCTATACATGCTCAGTCCCAAGAGCCGTGAATTCAAGAAGGTCCTCCGGCTCTCTCGCGATCTTGATCGCCTGATCATCTGGGATGATGAAGACGAATGGGACCCCGGCTTCATCATCCCTGACCCTGTGTTCCAAGATGCTATTCTGGAGAAGGGCCGTCCGACTCACGTTCTTTATACTAAGGGTAACTCCAAACGGGGAGCTCTGTCTTTGGAGGAGAGGTATGGGTATTGTGAAGGAAGCTCCGGAGCACAAGGCCATTGCTTGCCGCTTTGTACCTTTCACCAATGGAAAAGTCTGTGCTGGCTCATTCGGTGGCCAACGTGATGAGATGTTCTTCGTTTACGATATATACAAAGATGCCGTTGTTGCTCCGCCTGAGAGCCATTGCAATATGGAACTTCTCCCCCACTGTGAGTACGAGTGTTTTGGGTACGAGGACATACATTCCCTGACTATTAGTGATGATTGGACGGCCCACATCGCTATCCGTGGGAGACGAGAAGCAGTGCGAGGAAACAGAGTTACTTATTGCGCAGGATACTCTGTCATGAAGCTTCGCCACTATGTGAGGTACACTCGTCATGAGGATCATGGATTCCACATGGAATACATAGAAGAAGAGGAGCGTGAACTGTACGGTTCTGATTACGATAGCGAGGAAAGTGACTTCTGATTGGTTGAGAGGTTATATCAGCGATTGTTTTGCTCAAAGTTATATCAGCGATTGTTTCGACCCCTCCGAATCGAGGGGAGGAGCGGGACTCTATGATTGGTTGTGGAGAGCCACGATGCCTAGCTAAGAACTGCTCAACCACTACTATCCCCCCGGAGTTTTCTTACTATTATGGAGTTGAGTGAACGCAGTTATTGGGAATCGGGGCACCTCTGACTTCGCATCGCCTCCCCCACACGCATACAGTCTAGGTGGGGCCAGTATGCCTGTTAATGGGGCCGATATGCCATAAGGTAGGGCCGATATGTCTGCGACTGAGCACTTGAATTAAACGAGTGCGGATATTAGTTGGGCGCTCGGGTTCCAATGAGGATATCGAATTAGCAGATTAAGGATTCGGTTGACTCATGCTCCAAAGGGAGCGTCTGATTTCATAGAGACCTCGAGTCCATGATCAAAGAGAATGACAACTCGTTGATTCCTCGGGAATCAACGACTCCAACATTAACAATGGCTGAGTCACTTGTATATTTTCTGGCAATTCGATCGTTCGGGAGGTTGCGTGTTAGTCGAGGTGCTAATAGCACCGTGCTATGAGCACGTTATTGCACACAACCCCCGAACGCGAACGCCGCAGTGATGGGGATGAAACTACAGGTTACACGCTCCAAAGCTGTACATGCGGTTGCTTATGCGCTCAGTCTACAGCAGCTTTTCTGCGCGTCGAGGAACGCCATATGCGGAAGTAGTGCTGGCTGATGACTGCGACATCAGTGGCTCTAGACATAGTGCAAGAGATGGTGAGCGTATCCCAAGCACTGTATCAAAGACACCTCTCAATCTGTCTTTATCCCATCCCGCCTTCTCATCGCCCATGGAAAGCCCCCAGTAGGTCATAAGCATTCGATAACTCAGCTCAACAAATGAACGAAGTATGGCGTTATGAAAAACGACAATGAACAACCTGGAGTACTTCCAAGCTTGAACAAGATCACTCATCTCGTTTTCTTCCTCCCGGGCGTTGGAACTAAAAATAAGAGTCAACTGCAAGCAGAGTAAAGTAACGTCTTTACAACGTACCCTCTCGACAGGGGCTGGGTGGTTCCACATCCCACAATCCAACACCATAGAAAACTCGGACCTGATCTCGACGAATAATGGAGAGATGAGAGCAGAGCAAACTCACGCTAGCAATGTCACGTAGCATCTGCAGGCTGGCTGTGATCACATGGAGCTTCGAACCGGGTATTTCAGTCCAATTCACAGGAACCTGATACGAGGGATTTTACAGCAATATCTAGGAAGGCGGTACCTCGACAATGCGGAGCCTCATGAAGCGCGCTAGAAGCACGATTTCGATGTCGAAGGCCCATCTGGACAGAAAACCACCAATGACAACTCAGAGGGTGCTGAGGAGTTTACCGATTGAGATGAAGGCTGCTGAATATATCCCGAGCGGCATCTCTCGTGAAGAGCTTGAAGCCACATTGGGTGTCTCTAATGGATGTACCTAGATATGTGAGTATGAGAGGATAGACCAACATGCCCTAGCCTTACCAACCATAAGCCATACAATCAAGTGGAAACCTGCCATAAGAACCTGAATACCATATTACTACTGCCAAAGAGAGTCCAGTCGGGGCAGACGACCATGTTGCTGGTGTGTAACAGGATTACTCACATTTCGAATAGGGCTTCGCTTCGCTACAGCATCAGTATCTCTGAGGTGATCTCTCGAACCAAAGGTCTGAGGAGGACAGCACCATGACAGAGCCGCACTGGTGGTCGGCTCCAACCCCCACCGCAGCAATGCCTGAATCTTTATTCATGACTTCCTCAAGGCGAGCGAGATCGTCAATTCTAGTAGCGCCGTCTGCATCTACCATGAGTATACGTCGTCCACGAGAGCATCTCACTCCATAACGGACCTGTGTGACCCTCGTCACTAATAACTCCTGTATACCCCCATACCTACAGCCGCTCCCTTTCCCATGTTCCTAGCCAGCCCCACTACGCGGGTATCGATATTCGGAAAGACGTTATCACGTGCCAGACGGAGGGCCACAGCTTCTGTTGCATCCCGAGAGCCATCATTGACTATTATTATCTACATGGTCATTCCACAACAGGAACTCAACCTTAGGCCAACCTTGCCTCAAAGGTCATCGATGGTTCCTTATCGAGTCGTCTACGAAGGTACTAATAAGAAACATGCCCAAGAGCCATCCCTCAGTATAGTCCCTTACCGCTATCGTTTCCTTGTACATGAGAGGCAGCCTCTCTGCTTCATTATATGCTGGCACAACCTGATAGTGGCGATGGATACTTCCTCGTGGGGTGATAGATAAATAGAGTCCTACCAAGCTCAGGTCCACCGATGCCGCTGTATAAATCTGGTTGATGGCATTCTGGGGACTGCTGCCAGACCAAGATATTCGAGCGACCCTGAGATAGTCCGTCCCTGAGATGTGATAAAAGAGTGGTATGGATTATTACGGTGATTGAACCCCTTCGAGCGCCGCGGCCTCCTTCCTCCACACGATATACGGATAGAATAGGAGCACTAAGGCAACGACCACACCTGCTACCAAAAGCACCTCTGGGGCCAGGAAGGCATCTACTACTGGCAGCATGGAAAACAATACTGAACAAACAACACCCAAGGGAAGCATGGCAGCTCTAACCCAATACGACTCAAGCACCGAATAGTCACACACACTAGTTGATTGCGGCTTGAGGTCCAGCACTCTGCCCTTGTTGCATAGCTGTGAACTTCTGCTGGAGTTCCTCCAGCTGAAACGAGAGTGGGGAAAGGTTGTTCTCCTCTAGCACGTCTTACCTCATCGGACTTCTTCTGTAGTTTCTCTTCGAGCTCCTTGACAGTCTCGTTACTCTTATCCCTGAGTAACCTTACCTGCACTATGGAGCTACTGTGAGAATATTACAAATCAGAGGTGATGAACTCCAAACGTTTCTCTACGTTGGACACGGCTTCATCCCTATCCTGTCGTACCTAGTACAGCCTTCTAGCCAACAACGGCATCATCAAGAGCCCCTACCATTATTGGGCCGACGAGCTTCCATATCACACCATCGTCTTCAAGGACATCGAACTCCTGAACGATAACAATGCATGTCTACTATCAAGACCATACCTTGCCGCGCTACGGCCATGGCACTACCTTCTTGACTTGCTCATTCTCGCTCTTCTGTGCCGTGAGTGTGCGCACTTTACCATACAGCTTCTGCAAGCCTAAACCCAATACTCACAATAGTCAGTATAACCTCGAAGACCCTGTATTACGATCCTCCACGTCCTGTATCTCCGTGACCGTATTCTGGTACTGATTCTGTAACGGAGTTGAATGAGCTGCTGACATGATAGTAAGTAGACAAAGCAGAACTGAAAATGATCACACAGATACTCCCACGTGGATGATAGAATCTTGCGAACTTCGTCGTGACGCCACTCGAACACAACTACTGGTAAATCATAAAAAACTTCTACCATCTCTACAAAAAATAGGAAAACTAGGAGCTCTGATGGATCCAACCATGTGAATAGGTAATGGCCGAATCATTGAAAAAGTGACACCACCCATTTCCAACAAGAATGCTGCTACTTGAAGGCCGATAGCCCTGTGACCGCACGTCCAAGAATTAAGGCATGAATGTCATGTGTCCCCTCGTATGTGTTCACAGCTTCCAAGTTCATCACGTGCCTTATGATACCGTACCTTACAATGCACAGCAAAGGATTCTCGATTATACCTCGACCGCCCGTTTGCTACTCATCAACGATCCCATTGCCACCCAGCATGTCCCGAGCTTCCCGAGCGATCGCGAGAGCCTTCCCGCAGTTATTCCGCTTACACATCGATATGACGTTACTATGCAACTAACAGAGCAGCGCAGTGGCCTCTTGTACCGCTGTCCAAAGCGTACCTTATACTCGTCTTTAAGCTGAGTGGCTCGATGGGCCATAAGAGTCATAGAATGGATCTCGGTCAGCTGGTCAGCCAACTTCTTCTGTATCAGCTAAGACAGAATAACTTGCCACCACTGATGATACAATACACGAAGATTTCAGTACTGAGAAGACTGAAGGCCCATGAGGGGGAGGGTGAATCGAGATAGGTGATACTGAGTAAAGCACTTGAGTATGACCTGATTAGCTGCCAATGGTCGGCCGAATTGTTTCCTATCCATCGTATATCCTCTAGCAGTTTCCATACAGTACTCGGCAGCTCCAATAACTCCCCAGGCAATCCCTAACACACTGCGCTGCGCTCAAGTAAAATACATCATATTACCGAGACGGGCTGAGTTGAGGCAAGCAAAGGGACCTTTCATCCCCACTACACCGGGTAGGAGGGACTCTTCTGGTACGAATACATCGTCCATTAGAATCATGCCTACATCTATAACTTCACCGAATCCTGGTGCTAATACGAACTACCAGTAGGAGACGCTCGTAAGGAGAACTTTCCGAGGATCTTAGGGCAGGACACCCCCTTCCATTCGGTCTCAACCAAGAAACCTCTAACCTGTATAATGCCAGCATCACCGCTATGATGCCTTGATGTAGCCTACCTGGCCGTCAGTGTCACACTTAGCCCAGACTACACAGACGTCAGCTATGGGAGAATTGGTGATCCAGTTTTTGGACCCATGAAGCTTCCAACCACCGTCGACCTTCTTGGCAGTAGTCTCCATCCCACTGGGGTCCGACCCATGATTGGGCTCAGTGAGGCCAAAGCAACCGATCTTGGTCCCTACATCGGCGCCTTGTATATGATGCCATATGAAATGACCTACCTTTGGCTAGCTCTGGTAGCCATCGGGATTTCTGCTCCTCACTGCCGAATATGTTTATGGGGTGCATTACTAAACTGGACTGCACCGAGAACGCCGAGCGGAAGGCTGAGTCTACTCTCTCGACCTCTCGAGCTATGAGGCCGTACGCCACAGAGCTGGCACCTGGGATAGAGAACTCGGGCCTATACCCCGACGAGTAGACCCTACGCTACCGGCACAGCCGTAACCCTCTATGAAGGGCCCTAGCAAACCGTTCTTCCCGAACTCCAGGAAGACTTCCTTATTGAAGGTCTCATTGCGGAAGCCGTCGAGCACGGTCGGCATTAGGACGGCATCAGCAAAAGCGCGGGCGGAGTCCCTGACGGTGATGGTAGAATGAGGGCCTCCTCCTCGTGATGGTCCTACCGAATGAGCCTCTCCTCCTCAGTGAGCATATCCTCCAACATGAACATGTCCCTCCAGTGTGTGTCATGGTCCCACCTATTACCACCTCAGTTGATTTCAAAGGAGCATGTCTATGGTAGCGTCTTACTTGAATGGATCCCCGCCTTGCTTGACTTTGGCTGCCGCAGCGGCTGTACAGAAGCCTCTAGAAAGAGCCCGACCTCGAGAGACTACGTGTGTTAGCATAAGACCAGGAAGAGGAAATGGCTGGAAATGGCGTGAGATCGCAGAGTAGCCGATCAAGTGCAATGACAGAGGCCATACTATTATACACTATCCATAGAGCATCGATCATGGCCGTTTCGATGTATTCGAGCCAACGATTGAATGTGGAAAATAAATCCCGTTTTCTGTGCGTTTTTACACGCGCTAAAACAGTCTAAGACTCCAGGTACAAGTCCCAGTGACTTTTGTGTTACAGAGTTTGCTCATGGGCGCTATCATCACTTCATCTCTCTCGTTAACTGTGATTCGTAGTGTAGTCTGGGAGTTATCTTCCCACTCAGTTCCTCGTGGTAGCTCTCCACAATGTCAGCGGCATCCGAGGAGCAGATCCGTCCGGGATGCTCGATACACGATGTACAGTTCATGTAGTATACGGGGTAGGGGGTTTAGGGAGGCCAAGGTGTGGTATGCTGAGAGAAGCGATGCATATTAGACTGAGGATAGCCGGCAAGGAGCTGCCGAGGGTGTACCGGGTTCGTCGTGGCAGGTACATGTCCCCGAAGGAGATTCAGGATATATCTGTTAAGGAAATCACAGAGGTTGCTGCTTTCGGCAACCTGGCGGGTGCCCCCTTGCCCGACGGTTTGTAATACCAGCGAGGAATCTCAGGGTTGTTCGGGTAACGCAACTATTTAGATACGACCCCGCATTGGGACCCCTCCATATTGGCGATCTGTGCAAAACCTGTGGCCTGGGGGTAGCCACCACTGCCTTGCGGGACCCTCAGCCCTACCTCTCTGTTCTCAGGTCCACGACTGTCCTGGTCATTTAGGTCACATTAAGCTCGCTACTGATGTGTACAATCCGTTCCTCATACGAACATTGTAATACGCGCACATGCCTCCCCTTAGGCCCTCCGCTCTACCATCGGTGTTGTCTAGGTACAATGTGTTGCGTAGAATGTGCACTTCTTGCAATCACTTCCGTGTCCGCGAGGCTGTAACTCAGAGGTGAGAGCGCTAGTGTCACCTTTTAGCCGCGTATTTGGTCCTGACAGATATTGCGATCGATTCAAGCTCATCCTTGCTGGTCTTGAACCCGAGTCTCATGATGTTGTCATGGAGCCTTGCGACGAGAAAACTAAGTAAAGTGTGGTAGACTCGTGTTTGATCATAAGTTCCCTTAGATCGGCGATGGAGAGGGATATGACCTCAGATCCCAATGCGGACAGCCGAGAGGCATTCGTTGAGCATGCTAGTAGGGCACTACTTGAGGGGCCTGCCAGTCTGAGGTTCATGCTGTAGGTTATGAGGATGGCTCATCGTCTTACGTACCGTACATCATGGGGCATGGTGAGGAACAGAACAGGGTCAAAGCTTTGGTCAAACAGCTGGGCCTAGCCCATAATGAGGTTAATGATAACCTCGAGAAACTAGTTGCGAAGAACACTAGCTGGGGCATAAGTGAGTTATGAGATCCTCTGTATACGTTGGGAGTTCGGCTTGTTGCCTTCTCAGGTAGCTCAGGTGAGATACAAGCCTGGAACGACCTGGTGGCGGAGTTCGAGAATGAGGTCTCTGTTGCAGTATGCCCCAACTGCAAGGCTAAGTCGGAGCTTTTCCGTAAACTAACCGTAACAATGGTGGCGGCTGATCGATTTTGAGCCTTTAGGCGTTGATGGATATAACAAGATCTTCCGGAAGCTTCGAGGCAAGGCCGCTGAGAAGTTCGTCACTCCAACTTACGTAGGCTTCTGCTCAGCTGTAGTGTGTAGTTGAACTCGAGTGTAGGTACGCAACCTCCTCCACAAGCTGTGGCGTGAGGAGAGGCAGGTCCTCGAGTTCTTGTTCCCGGCCTCGGTCGGTCGTGGAGAGGATATCTTCTTCATGCAGAATATTGTGGTACCGCCTAATAAGCTCAGACCTCTACGTTTTGGTGGTGACAGTGATGACAATCAAGGATTCTTACCGGCCTCCACGGTCTGTTTGAAGAACATCCTAGAGTCGAATCTCCTACTCAAACAGCTGCTTGAGACGGATCAGGAGGCTGTGGAGAACCCAAATGAGAGGGAGAAGGGTAAGTTTGGGTATGTGGTCAGTTTGTGATGCATTGTGCTATACTCAGCTGGCGATGCCTTGCCGAACCTCATATCGGATGAGGATGAGACTATGAAGCCTGTTGACAACACTCCTCAGAGAGGGCCTATGACCACTCTTGGAACTGCACTCATTGACTTGCAGAATAACGTAAATAACTATCTAGATTCTGCTAAGAGCGGCAAGGCCCAGAACAAGGTCGTGGCATTTGGTGTACGACAGCTTCTTGAGAGGAAGCAGGGTCTATTCAGAATGAAGATGATGGGCAAGCGTGTTAATTACGCTGCTCGTAGTGTTATCAGTCCGGATGTCTCTCTGGAGACTAACCAGATTGGTCTCCCCATGTTCGCGGCTCTACAGCTGACTGTGCCCGAGCCGGTCAACTCCTTTAACGTAGACTACCTGCGGGCGTTGGTGGAGAATGGTCCCGATAAGTACCCAGGCGCCGCTGCTGTAGTGTTCCCGGATGGCAAGCTGGTGTCACTGAAGGGTCGACAACCTCATCAAAGGAAGGCTATTGCTAGGAGTCTATATCAGAGTACCAACCCAGATAAGAAGCCTAGAGTGGTGCTCAGGCATGTTAGAGATGGCGATCCTCTGCTGGTGAATCGTCAGCCCACCTTGCATAAGCCAGGCATTATGGCTCTGTTCGTGAAGGTAGTTGGGACTGGTCCTTTGAGGTAGTTTGAAAGCTCATGTCAGGTACTCAGTAAGGAGAAGACCATCCGAATGCATTACTCCAACTGTAACACATTCAATGCCGATTTCGATGGTGATGAGATCAACTTGCATTGTCCTCAAGACTCTAATGCCAGAGCTGAAGCCATCTATATAGCCTCTGCCGATCACCAGTATCTGGGGCCTACCTCTGGCAAGCCCCTTCGTGGTCTCATCCAGGATCATGTTGTCTCTGGTGTATTCCTTACTGCAAGGGATCACTTCATGAGGAAGACCGAAGTCCAGAATCTCATCTACACTGCCATGCGAGCCGCTATAGAAGGCGACACCTCGGGCATTGGTAGTGTCAAATCTAGAGGGCAGGTGACCAAGCTTACCACCCCTGCTGGGGTGCCCAAGGACTTCAGAATTGTCATGGAGCCTCCAGTCATCGTAAAGCCACAGACATTGTGGACAGGAAAGCAGGTCATCACCATCTTCCTCAAGAGTCTTATTAAGTTCGCTACTCACAGTACGGATAAAGCCATCGTCAATGGCTTTAATCACCATGCTAAGGCCAAGACCCCTGGCGATCTCTGGGGTGGTGTCAGTGATGGTAACAAGGAGGAGCAGATGGTCACTATTAGAGATACTGAGCTCATAGAGGGTGTCCTGGATAAGGCATCCTTTGGTGCTACTGCTAATGGTCTTACACATCTCTTCTATGAGCTGTGTGGTCCTAAGGCTGCTGGACTACTACTCACTGGTAAGTTGATGGTAGTCTTTGATAAGGGAGTACGCTCTATTGCTCAGGTATGGGTAGGATGCTCACCCTCTACCTCCAGTACCATGGCTTCACTTGTGCTATGCGGGATCTTCTTATCACTCCTGAGGGTGACGAGGCAAGGTTGCAGATGTTGAGGAAGGCTAGGGAAGACTCCTGGAATAAGATCAGAGATTGGGTGAAAGAGAATAGCCCGGAGGAAGCTAACGTCAAGACTCTACATAAACTCCAGAAGGAGATAGGTACTTGGTGGAATATTCGATAGGTTGAGAGCGGAGTGGTATGAACGATCAGGTAAGTTGTATGCAGCGGACCCTAAGGTTCAACACCCCATGTTCGAAGAGTTGGAGGAAACGATGCTGTCCACCAATAGGGATTACTGGGGAAGTAAACAGGCGCTGATGCATTCACTGTGGTGGATGAGATATCCTCGTTTTCAGAACTCATTGACATCCTATTCCCTAAGGGCCAGGTGTCTCCATTCCCGGATAACTGTTTCTCGGCTATGGTCAGCACAGGTAACGTCACGTCATAACATGCTTACTGATTACTCATATGGATGGTGTGTAGGTGCTAAGGGTTCGAAGGTGAATCACTCAATGATTGACGCCATGTTGGGCCAGCAGGAACTGGAGGGACATCGTGCTCCTCGTATGAGGAATCAGCGATTCCTTCCCAGTTTTGCCCAGTATGATATCGGCCCGAGAGCTGGTGGTTACATTACCGACAGGTGAGCATCAATAATGCGGGTCTTACTGTCTTGGAATCTGCGCTTTAGATTCCTGACTGGATATCGACCACAAGAGTTCTTCTACCATTGTATGGCTGGTAGAGAGGGCCTTGTTGATACTGCTGTGAAGACAGCAAGGTGAGCAGCTTGGGAGTTCTTCTACTTCTTATCCAATGCCTTGGTGTATAGATCTGGATACTTACAGAGATGTTTGGTGAAGAACTTGGAGGGTATTACTATCAACTATGACTACACTGTTCGGGATACTGACTCATCGATCGTCGAGTTCCTTTATGGTGAGGATGGTATGGATGTGACCAAGGTCAGCCATTTGGAACAGTAAGGTTACCTCACTGGGTCAACGCTCTCCTATTATCTTTCAATAGATTCGATGTGTTGGATGAGAACTCTGCCTTCATGGCCAAGAGTGCTGCTGTCGCTAAGGAGGAGGCTAAGATGGAGAGCAACTTGCCGGCCCTTTATCGGAAGTGGGCGGAGAAGCCTCAGAGTGGCCGAAGGACCAAGGACCTCGTGAAGGAGGTGAGGGAATCTATACGTGTATGATGGGCGGATGGTGGCAATTAGGTTAATGCTAGCGATAAGCTGCGAGACGAGGAGAAGGAGCACATCGCGTTTGTGGTGAAGGATACTCATACGAACGGAGGCAAGGCTCCTCCTATGAACAGCATGCTACCCCCATGGAGGTATTACTCTTCGACTCTTATGACGAGAGCCCTTGCAACTAAGCGCTAGTTCTGAAGTAGTATGTTGTCCTTCTCAAGGTTCACTGGTGCTATGTCCGAGCGAGAGGAGAATGCATTGACGGAGTATCTCTCCCATAGACCGGAGGAGTTGGAGAAGAAGATGCCCACTGAGGAGTTCCGTGATGTTATCATGCATAAATACGCTAGGTGGGTTGGGCAGTGATCTCTTCTGCTCCATTATTGACCTTTTCTCAGGACCCTCGCGGATCCCGGTGAGGCTGTTGGTACCTTGGCTGCTCAGGTGAGGCTGAGATTCGTTGAACTGTTGAGCGACGATGAGAAGTGGTATTCCTTTGTCAGGGTATGGGAGAGCCCTCTACCCAGATGACCCTGAATACCTTCCATCTTGCTGGTCATGGTGGTGTTAACGTCACATTGGGTATCCCTCGACTGAGGGAGATCGTACAGGTAAGGTATCTCGCCTCGCTGTGGATCACATAGAGTATTGCGCTATTCTCAGACCGCATCTCGCCACCTGGAAACCCCTGCTATGGAATTCCCTGTGCTCGGGGGAGTTAAGGTTGCGGAGGAGCTTAAGGTAATGATCAAGGGAGTGGCGCTATGGTGTGTCTCGAATCGTCACTGTGTTCAGGGTAAGATGACACGAGTGTCTCTGAAGGACGTGGTTGTGGCGACCCACGTGTTGGAGTCGGTAACTGCGGCCCAGCCTAGTGGGGAGACCATGCGAACCTACGAGCTTGTGGTAAGTACTCCATGAACTGCCATCACGATGCTAGATGAGTTTCCCTCGGGCAGGTTGAACTGGTTGACCCCGTTATGATCCAGAAAGCATATCCTAGCTTGTCACAGACAGCCATTGCTCACTTCCTGGACCATGACTTCCGAGATAAGCTTAACTCAAATCTCAAGAAGTTCATCAAGATATCTGAGAGCACATCTACGGTGAGGCGTTCCTCTGTGGTCCTCCGTGGATCGACATGGTTCTGTTCAGATCACATCACGTAAGGCCCAGCAAGAGGAGGGAGCAGCTGATGTGTTCAATGAGATTCCCGAGGATGAGAATAATGCTGAGCAGAAGGATCAAGGCGATGAAAGCCAGAATGTCACACGTACACTAGCCCAGCGTGCCCGAGCTACCGATGAGGAGAGGGAGGCCGAGCTTGATAGGATGGAGGCTGCTAGCGGTAGGCGTGCAGGGGATGCTCTGTATGTATATTGATTGTGGGTGTAGATGCCGATGATGCTGATGAAGGACAGTATGATGACCCTGTTGATGACGCAGCAGCAGGTGATGATGATAAGAAGGATGATGTAGTAGAGGAGTGGTATGATGTGGTGCAAGTGGCATTATCTCAGGATGAGGCCGAGGAGGACAACGAGACTCCCGCAGCTGAGGAAGGCACTCAAGGGTAAAAAGATCGTGTAGTAGTGGTGCTGTAACTTTGAGCGTTGGTATCTTCAGGCCTGCTCTCGGAGGGCAGACTACTGCTGAGGAGTATCAGGTCTCCAAGACTAAGAACTCGACTGAAGTCATCTTCAACAAGTCTGGACGTCTATACGGCCCGAAGTAAGGTCTCGCTTTCGTTATACAGTGAGTGCATCGATGATCATTCTATGTCGTCGTTTAGGTTCGTTCTCCGTTCCCGACCACTTGAGCTCTCCCAGGGCATCTCTCGGAAGATTCTCATCCTGGAGGCTGTCGCAGATCTCTGCTCTGATCTATACATCCAGCAGACCCCTGGCATCACCAGCGTCCATGTGGTGGAGCCCCGTCCTGGTCAGTCAGATAAGGTCACGATTGAGACTGAAGGTGAGCCTCCTTCTCTGCATGGTTAGTAGCAACTTATAACCATCCTCGTAGGTGTTAACCTCGATATTGCATGGGGCCTTGATGGCATCGACCATGACCGCATAGTCACCAATGATATCGGTCTTATCTTGGATCGGTATGGTGTAGAGGTAGCAGTGTTCAGGCAATTATGGTATGCAAAATGGTTGTTCCCGTTGTAGGCGGCACGTGCGGCTATAGTCCAAGAGGTGCTCCGAGTGTTCGGTCACTACGGCATCGGTGTCGACCCCAGGCATTTGATGCTCATCTCTGACTACATGACTCATCATGGAGGGTAGTGACAGTATTAAGCTGAGCTTATTAGCAGTAATGTTCCTCCCTTCCAGGTTCCGTCCCTTCAGCCGTAGAGGTATGGAGGCCCACGCATCCCCATGGCTGCAGATGACATTCGAGACTAGTGTTAACTTCCTCACTAAGGTAGGGCAGGCTTCTCACATAGGCTATGCAGGAGCTGTCATCATGTACAGGCCTGTAACAATGCACAGTATGATACCTTGAAGAGTCCAGCTGGGTCCATCATCGTCGGCAAGCAGGCCAGTGTTGGTACGTGGAGAATGGGTAACCTCCACTCTTACTATTCATTCGTCCATAGGTACTGGATGCTTCGATCTACGTATGGAGATGCCCAAGAGTGTACGGGGACTTGCTAAGGATGAGCTGACTACTCAGGTCAAGAAGCCGAAGAAGGAATTCGTAGGGAGGCTAGCTATGGTATGGATCACCGCATGCTGTGTTCGATTAGGTCTTCGCGTGATATATATGGGAGGTCGGCCAGTGGTGTTGTGAAGGTCGATAACGTATTTACCAAGAGAGCTCCGATTATGCTCGCTACTTCACGCTATATAGGTTTCTATTACTGCCATAATCACTTGTGTAGAGCTCAGTCGCTAAGTGGGGTGTAGGGAATGGGTATCATAGATGGATAAGGAAAGCACTGGACAGAGGGGCTATCATTTCAGAAATGTCAGGGGTCCCACCTCAACAGCAGGAACCTCCACATGGGATGCCCACACCACCCTTCATGGGTATGCCGCAAGGGTCTAGTGGGAAGGTACTATAGGCCTCCTTCTTTGCTGGGGTATCTCATCCCACATGAGCCTTAGTGGATAGAAGTTGCTATAATTTTAGAGTCCCGCCCCGCCCCCAGGGGGCCTTCCCATGCCCCCAATGGGTAGTATGCCAGGAGGGATGATGCCGCCTCCACCAGCAGGTATAGTATATCCCCTCTCTCACCCACCGATATGTGCTCCCTAGGACTTCCTAGCTTCCCTGGAGGACCTGGGGGTATGTTACCTATGCCCCCACCAGGCGGGGCATTCGGCAACATGCCTCCACCTCCTGGATTCGCGAATATGATGCCCATGCCCGGTGGTTTTGCGCCTCCCCAGAGTGGGCAGCAGGGGCAGAATATGGCTGGCTCAGCCTCCCCCGAGATGGCCAAGATACCTCTGGCTGAGCGGCTAGCTCACGTAGTATCGTGGTATATTGGTTGAGCTCAATCGGGCTGCATGATAGGATCCCCATGAGAGGCCTCCAGACGACTTCCCTCCCAACGAGACCCTCTATATCAACAACCTCAATGATCGAGTGAAACCTGAAGAGCTGAAGAAATCGATCCTCGAGGTCCGGAGTGGTTGGCGAATCCTCTCTCTAAGTATTCATCTTAGTTATGTAAATCCTGCGGTACCGTCATCGACTGTATTGCGATGAGATCACTCCGACGGAGGGGTCAGGTAGTAGTGGTCACAGCTCGTATGTGTTCGATCGGAGTCTTCATAGCAACAATGCACAGTTGGCCGTTGGATGGATGGTCGTATTGCCTCTAGGTATTTGTCGTTTTCTCGTCGAAAGAGGAGTCCTCGTCTGCGATGAAGAAGCTGCAAGGCCATAGTCTGTAGGGCCGCAAGCTGCTGAAGCCCTTGGAGTACATTGCTAACAATAGGTACAGCAAGAACATGCGGGTGTCATACGCTAAGACTAAATCAGACGCGATTGCTAAGAAGGAAGGTACTACACGACATAACACACCTTGTGATGATATCCGAACACGCTTATGTGGCTGTATGAAGGCACCTACGTCCGTCGGGATAAGGAGAAGTTAAAGGAGATGAGAGAGGCAGCACAGGCCAAGCTCCAACCAGATGCAGCAGCACAAGCGTAATGTCCAACGTCAAGGCTCTTCGTATTCAAGGGAGCTTTCTTAGGGCAGCTGCAGCGGCAGCGGCAGCAGCAGCGGCCAAGGCAGCAGTACCTGGAGGGGCTATGCCAGTGAGTCTGAGGGCGTTACTTGTCTATGCCTAGGCGTCCTTTTCAGGCTGGCATGCAGCCGATGGTTCCCAACTTTGCAAGCGTGCCCGCTGGGGGCTTCCAAGGTAGGGGGAATACTGACTAGTCTCTTTCTGTACTACATATCCCTCCAGGCATGCCCTTCAATATTGGACAGCAACAACAACAACAACCTGCTCAACAGAAGGTGAGTTAACTGACGGACGAGGCCGGCGTTGGGGACGCCTTTCCTTCAGAAACTTACCACTGCAGAGGACTTCTTCAACACCTCAGTATCAGCGCCTAAGGTCGTACAGCACTCTAACGTTCCTAATAAGTGAGGGCAGGCTATTGGCAAGTCGGCTCACATCTCTTGGTAGGACTCTCTTTGTGGAGAATCTACCTCCGAGGTGCACGCCTGAGAAGCTCACAGCAGTGTTCAAGTCCTATCCAGGCTTCGAGGGCACACGTGTGATAGCTGAACGACAGGTAGGAGTAATCTTACGCAGCTGGTGCATAGCCGCCAGGGCTGCATGTATTGTTATTTGTAGGTTGGGTTCATAGACTTCAGTAGCGAGTTCCAGGCCACTATGGCTAAGAATGCTAGAGGTGACTATACTATGGAGGGGCAGTTGGTGAAGATCTCCTACGCTCGGAAGTGATCATCATCATACAGCTGACGTCGGGTTAATATAACTTTGATGATGACGTTCTGGGGATCAACTTGTCGTGGAGTTGTGTTGAGGGTAACAAGAGGGTCTTGGGCTTCCCATCCAGGGAGAGTAGGGGTGCGGGTTGGGACTCGGTGGCTGCAATGACATTGTGTCCCCATCGGCGGTGCACACTGAAGGCTCTAACAAAGCCTCCTGTGAGTCCCAGTCCTCCTGTCTTGTCGTTAATGGCCATGGCCTGGGAGGGCTTTGCCGTTAAACCTGGTAGGGTGCTGGCACAAAGTTAATACACGTTAGTACTCCCTCCTATTGTTGCGTCCGATAGCTGGGGAAATCTATCGTTGGCAGCCCTCTCGTGCTACCGTACCATAGTTAAAATGAACCTCCGGCTTGCCCGACATTTTCTCGACTACCCATGCACATTTTACATGCTGTCTTTCACCATATCCACCATTCTATTATCAGTAATATCCGTGGTCGGTCCCAAGGTGGGAATGCTGTCCTCCTCAGGTGTTTTGTTTCGTACCGCCTGTTGCACGTTGGTTCGGCCCGGACATTGCGGCCTTAGCCCTTATGACCGTGTTCCTGGCAGCTGGGGATTGCTTGTGTGGTGCATGGAGGAACTCGATGAAAGTAACATGAGACTGTACCTCCCCAATGCTGCGTGTTCATAACCTCTTCAATATTGTAGGTCATCAATGCCTCCATTATATCACTCTTCTTCGCTGCTATATGGACACTAGCAATCAGAGCAGTGTTCGATGCCGTCTCGGCTGAGTACGACGTTGGTTGCCCCTCGACCTGAGCAGTCGCTATTCCCATTACGTAGATATAACTCTTACATAGCAGCTGTCTGGGCCCTACCCCTCATTGCCCTGCATGCCTTTGCTTATACTGTGGAGCCTGTACGTCACGCCCTGCGGCTATCGTTACGAGGCATCATCGATCGCTGGTCCTCAGATAAATGAAGTGTACAGTGTCCCATTGGGTGCACTCATTGTCTGCACTGTGCCAATGTGAGTGAGTGATACCTGAGGAAGCGGACTGCCTACTAGCAGATACGGCATGATGGATTCTATCTACTCCGAGATCGGTCTCTGTATGTTGGCGTGTATAGCAGCCTCCGTGGTCACCTTCGGGGTCACGTGTATCTTGTCGTCAGTACGCTGATTGTTAGGAGTATTACCACATCATCGTATAAACAGATACGGTGTAGAAGCAGTAGACTGTGTGGATCAAGCAAGATGTCTCTGGCGGAGGCCGATTCGGCATTGCTCACTTACTTTCACACCCTCTGCAACACCTTGATGTCGCCCTCTGAAGTCCAGGAGGTGGGTTCGATCTCTGGATGCGGTTACTCATTGCTACTTCCTAGGACTACGATCTAACTCGAGCAGCCTCAGCAGTATGCCAGAAGACTCTATATCAGGCCTGGAAACAGGCTGATGATGAGGGAGCTCGGCGGGTATCACTAACACTTTTTTCTCGATAAAAAGTACATCAATTCAGGTGGCCCATCTACAGGCGGCTTGCTTTGGTAATTTGGCCACCCTCGCTCAAACGGTAGGGAAGTCGTTCTACCCGATTCTCCGAATATAGATGGGCAGCGTAACGTCTTTTACGGTTTATGTGACGGCGTGCGTAACGTAGGCAGTTTTCGGTTACGGAAAGGCCTTACGACTTTACGGTTGATGCTGAACTGTTTTTTTGGAATTGTGGCGGAAAGATTCGCTGTAGTGCACTCGACGATAGCCCAGATAGTTGTTAACCTCATTTATTGTGGCTCGAATTTCAACCGAGCCGCTGAGAGAGTAACATTTGCTGTCGCATTTGCCACTCGTCTCCTTTGCAAATTCCATCCGTCTTACTCCCAGGCTGGTTCGGAACTGCCAAGCCGGCCTATCTACGGATTCGCATTCACATGAAATAGATTTAGGCGATTTGAATTATCAATCCTAGTTTTGTCCTCTGCATCTCCGTAAGACACGTTTGCGGCGCCGTAATTTTACGGTACGGGGCTTGAAACGTAACCGTAAAAGTGAACCGTAACGGCCCGTAACGTCATTCTGCCCATCCATGCCTCCGAAGAGGGTCTTCTAGGTGCACCCACCCCGTAGTGAGAAGCCTCTGTCGTTCCCAGCATCCTGTGGTGGGCTGGTCACTACTTCGTTCATGCTCAAGTTCACTAGTGTCGTCGCTACTCTCTCCGAAAGTAAGCATCTAGTCGTGGAGTATGCCTCTTGCATCCTGCCGGTAGATTCGTTGCCAAGTGAGGAGTTGTTGACTGATCTCATACAGTCTAGTATGAGTGCTCACATCACACAGGGGTATAAGAGCTCAGCTGCTGATGCCTTCGCACTGCAAGCTGCTGTCATCGAAATGGCGAGATTCGTAGGAAATATTCCGATGCCCCTCGTGGGCCATTAAGCCCTTGATAGGTACGAGCAATGAGACGTGTTCGCATGGCCACAACCCAGTATGTTGCCTCGACTATGGGCTCCTTCAAAGTGATGACGAAGATGCTAGCAAGGTAATGCTCTCTCTCTCGAGTGCTTGCTGCTGCATGTCGATCATCACAGGAATACCGCATTTAAATGGCAGGGAGTGGTATCGCCTCGCCAATGGTTTACAGATCGTATTGAAGCGGAGAATGCCTTGTAGGGCGACGACAAGGACCTAAGGTTGTGGTGAGTAATATTATTCGGACAGATACTTCACAATCCGTACATCCATGATGCTGCTGGTATCCACACTGGTGTATACGGTATGGGAAGGGAGGGATGAAGCCGTTGATGCGTAAGTAGGCATTGGACGACGTCCACGGTATTGTCGCTATTGTTGTCAGTTACGCTCTATGGGGGCTACTGCCTGGTCTTATTATATTACAGTTGCTAATCAAGGGCGGCGCGGTAGTATTGCCGATGCCCCTCCTCCGACAGTTCTCTTGTTACCTGTGGTCATCAGATCCGTGCAGTGTATTGCGTAGCACCCCTCTTCGCATGGACCCTCCTGGGCAGCGCCCTTGGGCTAGCCTCCGCTGAGAGTAACCTTGGTAGCATCAGTGCCTACGCCACACAAATGGTATGCCCAGTGTTGATGCATTGGCATTCCTCATCCCAGGTGCTGCTGGCTGCTATCGCTTCCTACCTACATCGTGGATCCCTTAAGAAGGTATCGGGACCGATACTAGCATATCAATCTTGGCTCGTAGTGGCTGTAGCCAACTGGACGGATGACGAGGGTAAGCTTCTAGAGGAGTGCATGCTATGATGCTTACTCGAAGCCGGATGATTATCAGTCGTTTGATGTTCAACGCTTTGAACTTCTACGTTTCCCATGTATAAAGTGTTCCCAATATCAACTCAGGTCGAGATTCCTTCGCCATGTGGCACGTGGCACTGTACCGAATAGCCATAGTCTGCACGGGTGTATTCCTCGCGATGATCTTCGCGGTGAGTCCCCTCCTATCCCCCATCGGTTGAGGTTCTCGCTTAGATGTTGCCCCCACCTTTCCGGCTCCTTCCTGCTCTCGATGGTCCTCATAAGCACCTAGTGCAGACAGCCGTTGACGTCGCCGTCCGGTCAGTGGTTAGGGCCAGTCGTTGCCATGCTAGCAACGGAGTGAAGGCAGAGGGACAAAGTGCCTTAGCGTAGGGTTCCGGTACCTGCTCATCTTCGTATTGTTATAATGAGAGCACTATCGGCTCTGTAGCGTATCAACCCTAAGAGAATTCTCGGTTAGCAATACATGGGTTCCCATCGATAACATATCACAGTTCTGTGGAGCTGTCAGCTTTCTCGCGCGATATCTCCGATGCAGGTACTCCCGTAGCATGAGCCGTGCTCTTTCTGTGGCCACCGAAGAGGAGGAGGAGAAGCCACAGATAACAAATCACCCGACTCTCGTACTCCACCGCGATGGGGCCCTAGAGGGAGTAGATCCTAACTCACTCGACTTACTGGTGAGCCCTTCCGACGCTGTGCCTGTTAATTCTCAGCTCAGGTGCATTTCCCGCCTGCAACCAAGCCTTTGCTACGTCAAAGCAAACTGCAAGATAATATTATGCGACGAGGCGGCCACTCGGCTAATGTCAATGATGTCTTGGTAGTTGCAGAAGCGACTCGTCTGAGTTGTCCATCGATGTCGTTCGCTCCTTAGGTGGATCTGTCATATGCTGCGCTAGCAGTGGCAGGACCGGCCAAGGACTGTCGGCTCGGCAGGGAGGGGGTTGCTGTAGCTGGTGACCTCATCGTGAGGATGGAAGAGCTACTGGGGGCGATTAAGATATCTGAGTAGGGCTGGTTACAGGGCATCATGGAACCCAGTTGCGGCAGGTCTAGCATTGATGTTACTACAGCGCAGCAGCTACACAGTCCCAGTTGGGTGAAGCAGGCTGTCATGAGGCTCAATGTAGAGCTTACTAAGACACGCACTATGTTGTGGGCTGAGACTGGGTGGAAAACCGACAAGGCGACGCACACCATTGGTAATAGGCAAGCATGTGGTGTGAACTCGTGCATATTATAGTTTTTCAGATCCGGCCGAGAAGTTCCTGCTTACAGGTCTCCTGCAGATTGTCTCTCTGGCAACTCATCTCGTCCATTTCGGTGATTGTTGGATGCGTTTTGAGGAGGTTGTTGGTAGTACTAGAGTCGTACCTTGGTCCTCTCCCCGTATTCCTATAGCAGGGCTCGAGTCGGAAGGCATTGCTGGCAACACCGGCACTAATCCCTTCATCAATCGTGGCCAATCATCGACTGAACTCGGTAAGCCTCGGCATACACTGCGTTCCGACTCTTAGCTCGACGACAGGATTCATCATTTCAGTTGGAGTACCATCATCTCGCGAGCATCATCATCATCATCATCATCATCATCATCACCTCCCGCCCCTCGTCACCAGGTCGAAGTCGGCACATCAATTCGAAGTGAAGAATAGTCATGAAGGCCTCTCCAGAGGGGCTCGTTGATTTTGTTGGCAATGGACCTATCTGTTGTTGGTCACTACATTTACCATCTAAAAGAAGGGCACTGTAGCGATATTTTTTTTGCACTTCATCAGTCCAAGCCTGATAACTTTTTTACTTCAAGGGTGCATCTTATCTTACTATCAACACACTATTGTGTTTATAGTAGTACTCGGGGTAAAATATGCTGATATCTGAGTGGGCGGGGTACCGATTGGAGTGGGCATGGAGCCTGAAGGACGGGCTGCATCAATGTAGACGCACTGCTGGTCCAGACGCTTAGTTGGGGATGCCAATACTCTCTCGTGGTCTCTGCAAATGCCGGGAGCCCTCACCTCGATGTATGAATATCTCCCGACGGTGGGATACATCACAGTTCATGTGGCATAAGATTAAACAGTAGGAGAGCCGACTGATTGAGGGGATATAGGCTCCATCAGTTGGAGGAGGCCTCCAACGCCGTCTACCTCCGTGTCTTGGCAGCCTACTTGGGGTCATGAGCCCGAGCCGAGGGTATCGGCGTTGGAACATTCGAAAGGGAAACTTAGCGAATCATCAGTGAGTCCCATAGTGATGAGGGCGCTTACTTTGCTGACTTTAGGTGGCTCATGTGGGCTCAGATCACGTTACAGTGGATAGGCTGCTTTCGAAGTTAGGGCTGTGTAGCCGTACGTTAGCCATACACTGGCTCTGGAGGGTATGGGAATTCCCTCAGGCACAGAGGCTGGACGGCTTATCGAGCGTGGTCGGATAAGTATCAATGGTCGGCCGATTGTACAGAACAGATGGGTGGATGTTCGTAAGGACTCCATATTGGTAGTAGGGGATACCGGAGAGGGTGGTAAGGAATTATGGTGAAGCGCAGGTTAATGGCACCCCGCTAGAGGCCACATGTCGGCTAACTTTGCTCATGCATAAGCCTGCAGGGTATGTGGTCAGCCGAGATGATCCTCTGAATAGGGATACTGTAGTCTGGTTCATCGATGATACGGACACTTTCGTGAGGGGCCTACTACCCAGGTATTCCAACTGCTGCCTGACCCCAGCGTATACATCGGAGCATCTGGTCGTCTTGATAAGGATACCACCGGTAGAGCACTGGTTATCGTCATCATACTCCTCCTCCTGCTCCCTCTACTCTGAGTAGGTCTCCTGCTGCTTACTAACGATACCTATTTGCAATCATCATTGGTGGATCCAGTCTATAAAGTCCCCAAGGTCTACCGAGTGGTAGTGAAGGGAGCAGCCCTCAACGGGGCACAGCTCATGGCACTACGCAGTGGGGTCTCGCTAGAAGGTGAGTAATGGAGAATCAACCATTCGTGCTATGCTACGGTAGACGGCCCGACCCTGCCTGCACTGGTGGAGCCTCTGGACGTGAATGGAGACCCTCTCCCACTTGAAATGAGCGAATATGACCGCTACAAATGCAAGCAGTTGAATATCACTCTATGGGAGGGACGGAACCGGCAGGTTAGACGGATGGTCGAGGCTGTAGGGTAAGTAGGGGACTGATCAGCTTAATGGGATCTACTCTTCACCTCCTCCCCGCAGCATATGCAGAGTCAGGTCCACAGTCCGGGACTTGTGCCGGATACAACTGGGCCCTTTCTCGCTTCATGCAGCTGGAGTGCCGAACCCTGGAGATGTGCGTCAACTCACTATAGATGAGGTGGAGACATTGAAGACCTATATCAATTCACAGGCTATGCGCACCAAGAGATTCCGCAAAGTTGGTATTGGCAGCAGTGAGATTTCAAGCTCTGGTTCATGATTTCCGAAAATAATGTGTGAGGTTTCTGTCCATTCACTGTCTTGTGCATCATAGTAGAGGCTTCCTTCTAATAGCAGGCTTTGTCGCTAAAGGGGATTCTCCTTGAATGGTACTGGTCTCAGCAGGTCTATGTTCCCCCTTTTTTAAACCGTGATCAATACCAGCATAGATGTCTGGCTCCTGCATAGCATTGCAGTTGGAAGAGGCAGAGGCACTGAGATCTGTCTATGGAGGCGAAGATGGATTCATGTGGTTACACGAGCCTGATGGGGACGATGATATAGCAGAGCCTGCGTACTATCTTTTCACTGCTCACTACTCGAGAGCATCTCAGATACGCAGTGACAGTGCGCAGGGACGGCCCAATGGAGTGTTCAGTGACGATGATGTTCACACTACCACCTGAGTACCCCTTGAATGAGTATGCTGTGCCGGAGATAGTAGCAGTTGAGGGTTCGGAGTCGGTGCAGAGGAAACTGCGTACTATGGGGGGAAGCACGCTAATACTAGAAATGCTACGTGGTGAACTGCTGTATTCATGAAGTTTTGGAAGAGAAATATTCCTAGCATTCTTTGCCAAACTGAGGGCATTAATTATGGAGGTGAAGCATAGTCGGTGCAGTGGAACTCCGACCGTTTGGTGTATCAATTCCAACTAAGGTAAAATTGAAGATGCAGTGGCTACCAGTGTGCGACAGCAGTTGAAGAGCGGCTATGATTTCCCAATCCTCGCATCTCTGGGGCCACCATTGACCGATCTCCTCGCTGATGTGAGGTCTCTAACCTACACCATGGGACTGTTATAACCATAGGCTCATCTTAGTTTGAGGAGGAGTGGATCGGTATGGAGATTGAACGCGAGAAGGAAGAGGCAGCAGAGGAAATGGACAACTACGCCTGGGCCACTCACCTAGCCATCGCGGTAGAACTCCTCGGTGTTGTTAGTCTCATCGATGCACCGGGCAGTAGGCACAGAAGTACGAGCAGAGGCATGGCCCTCCTGTACTCGGCCGTAGAATGATATATTCTCATCACATATGGAGCCCTACTAAACGGAAATATATTCTAGAGTGGGCCAGTAGGCTGCCCTCTTCTCGTCCCCAATTGCGCTATGCATTGGCCCTCAGGGGCACTCCGTCTCGGTGGTATGTCGAAACTGGGATATCCCGGCTGTATTCTCATCGAGGGCGATGAACGTGACTGCGCTGAGTTTGTTAATCTTGTGACCAGGTGACCGATTGGCTTATACACCAGCAGGAGATCCATGCTTTAGGCTACGGTGGAAGTATATCGCTGTACGAGGAGAAGAGCAGGTGCCTGTGCTTCCTGGGAAGTGCTTGGACGATATGCGGGCGTTACCTCTATCATTCACGGAGTACGGTTGGGATGATATGGACAAGGTCGCGGCTCGGTGGGTTATGGGGTTGTCCTCGGACATGGGAAGGCTTGTTCTTGTTGTTTGCCCGCAGGTGTAGGGAGGCTGGTCTTGAGGAACTGTTCCTGACGTGTATGAAGATATATGGCGGTAAGAAGAGCAAGGAGAAGAAGCCACAGACGAAGTCGAATGATGAGAAGAAAAAGGAAAAGAAAAAGCGATGAGCATTCAACTACTAGTGATGCTGTTTGTATGTGTTTTATGATGAGGCTTTTATCTCTGTTTGGTAGTTGTGTGGTAGTGCGTAGTTGCTAAATTGAGTATTCCCTCTGCTGACCATACCTCTACAGCATCTTGCTGCATCGTGAGTCACGATGCAGCAAGATGCTGCAGTCACGATTCGTGACCAGACAGGTACGTTCGAAGGCCTTTGTTGGACCACATAGTTCGGTTGCGCGGGTCGCAGCCCGGATATCTTGATGGAATGTTTCGCTTTGCTCATCTCATGATGCAATTAATTGCCTCCGTAGTGAGTTGAACAATTTTGTAGTATGTCTGCTGCTGCTGTTGCATGGTTCCATCTCCAGCTCGAGGAAGCGGAGGCTATATGTGCGGCTTATGAGGATGATTGTGATTTTATATGGCTGCACAAACCAGAAGGCCCGGACGACGGGGAGACAGCGTGAGTCGTTATTGTGAACTCCCAGTAGAGTTACTCATACCCTTTCATCATAGGTATGCAGTCACTGTGAGGGGTAAGGTTGATGCTGAGACGAGTGTAACGTTTATGATAACATTACCACACGGGTACCCTTCGGCTGGAGAGGAGAAGGCCTTCCCTGAGATAACTGCGGTCGAGGGCTCAGAGAATGTCAAGTATAAACTAGGTGAGGATGGTAGAAATATCAATCTGACAAGTTGCCAGAATGATTATTGTTAGTGACAATAATTGTTCTCCGAATCTATATTGTGGACAATTGGAGAAGTCACCACATTGTTGTATGTTTCAGGTAACTTGCAGGAGCTCCTTGCCGCGAACGTCCGGTCTCAGCTGAAATCCACTTATGAATTTCCCGTCCTCGCCGCTCTAGCCCCGATCTCGGATAGACTCACGAAAGTAAGTGTGAACATCGCCGCCTCCACTTATAATGTTCCCAACAGCTTGGTGAAGAATGGCAGACTAAACAACAGGAAGAGATGGCGGCTAAAGAGGACTATGATTCTGTTGTACGAGCAGCAGTCAAAGTACGGCATGAAGACTGAGTTCGGTTAGTATTGATACAGGCAAAGAAGTCAGAGCTCCAGAAGGGTCCGCTGATGCTGGGGAGGAGGATGATATTTTTCCATCACATACGGAGTCCCTACAAACGTCGATGCATACAAAAATGGGCCAGTAAGATAATTCGATTATTCACATTCGAGGGCAGACCGAAGTAGCAGACACATTCCAGTATACTTTCAGATGACCTCCGACTGGGAGGGATGAGTAAAATAGGTTTCCCTGGATGCATCGTCGTGGAGGGGGATGAACGAGATGTGAGCGAATATGTGAATATGGTTTCGAAGTAATTCCTGATGTCTTCATGTCTCTACAGTTGTCCATGTTTTCAATCAGGCTCATCTGGCGGCTCATGGAGGTGCGAGGTGATGAGCAAATCCCTGTACCTCCGGGGAAAACGCTGGACGACTTACGTAAGCTGCCGATCGAGTTCCATGAATACGGCAAGGACGAATTCAACGAAGTTGCTGAGCGGTGAGTACTGGCTTCCCCATGAGAGAGCAACACGTAATGCTCATTTCAAGGTGCCGAGAAGCAGGCCTAGAGGACCTGTTCTTAACGTGCATGCAAATCTATGGAGGCAAGGAAGGGGCATCCACAACTAATAAGAAGAAGTCGAAGAAGAACCGAAACGATGATCACCATTGAATTGTCGTCTGTGATTCTGTTCCAGTAATTGGATGTTCAAAAGTAGTCGCTATTCAGACCATGCGTGTGTTCTTTGTTTGAATGTTCTTCTAATCCTTCATCAGAAGTGTTTCTTTATGGCATCTTATCCAACACTGTCTGCCACCCTTAGCTTTGAGATGTGGGACTTGTGTTGTAACCCCTGGTGTAAAGGGACTCACAATACTTTCTAAATTGATTGGGTTTGGGAATCTCCTTTCCGACTTTTTTCCAATCAAATTGACAAATACAAGGCCGACAGTGGGATGGAAAAGAGGACAGTATTCTTCATCCACGGCTGGCGATGAATGGACAAAACCGAACAACATTCACCAGTTGTGGACTACCATTCGGCGTGTGTACTTGTTATACAGGCAAGCCTGACTGCTTCTAGTCCAACATCTTGACACTGTCCCGTAGTCAAGCCTCGGGTGAGCCAGGGGAGAATGTGAGCGTCTCACCAACGTTTGTTGTTTGTGCGATGACCCATTGTATGAACCTGTTCACCTGCATAGTATAACAGGCTTTGGGAGTGGACTACTGCGTGATAGCAGTCGTTTGTTATTTGTATTGCTATTCAATGAAGTTGGCCCAACTCTCGGTCCTGTTGGTGGGGTCTACTGCTCTGCCGGCGCCACGGGACAGGTTTAGGCTACATAAGCATTCACACTCGTTAATGAGAGAGGCCAAAGTTGGCGGTAACCATACGTACATGTATTGCGATCAACTTGTTGACCACTTCACCGATAACAGTGAGAGGAGAGCTTGGTGAGGCATCGTCCGACTTCATACGCACTGCATCTTAGGAGCTCATGCCCGGGAGAAATGGTGCCAAAAGTATTTATATAACGATGAGTTTTCATCTAGGGATAGGTGCCATAGGCCGGTAAGCACGGGCACCTTCCGAAGTGGGGGGAAATCTTGTGCAGGTCGTCCTCCTCTACACTGGAGGGGAGTCTCCAGGCCTAAGTGACGATATCGTTACTGCATCGAATGTCGCGGATGACATGATGTCTCTTGCGAAGGAGATCGGAGCTGTCGCGATGGCTCTTGAACACAGGTCATAGGAGAATTGCTATCCGAGTGCCGAACGAGAATGCTGAAGATACTATGGGGTAGAGAAACCGACAAAAAAGCTGTCCCGTAAAGTACTGGAGAAGACCTTCACAGTCGACCAAGCCTTGGCTGATGTCGCACGCTTCCGAGACTATGCCGCTACTAAATACAATCTCGAGAACGCTCAGTTCGTCACATTCGGTGGGAGCTATCCAGGAGTAAGTAGCATGGTGGGAATCGTCAACCGCTACTACTGTATGTCATCCTTGCTTGTGTTGTTTCAGGTTGTAGCTGCCTGGGCTCGGGCTGTCTATCCAGAGAGTTCGTTGCAGCTGTGAGCTCCAGCGCGCCCATTCAGGCACAACTCGACTTTCCAGAGTAGAGGTGGAGTCGGAAACTCTCTGTTTAGTGTCGATCCCTATAGATATAATAACGCAGCTGCCGATGCCTTCGCCAACGAGTTAGTCGGAGGAAGTATCGCTTGCGCTACCGCTGTACCCAATGCGCTGTTGAGTGAATCACCCTCTAAGTCAGATAAAGCAAGCCCACGCTGAAGTGGGACAGATGCTCGAGGACGAGAAACTGAGACGAAAACTGGAGAGGACTTTTAATATTTGTGGTACGAACATGCTAGAAGAACATGATAATAGGAGACTATGGTGAGAGGGATAGTCCAAGACAGCTTTTCAGTTTACCCCCGATTCAGGACTGCTGAAGGTGTACTGAGTTTTTCAGTGCAGTCAAACGATCCTCGATGCGAGGGTGACTTGTGCAACATCGAAAAGATTTGCAGTCGTTTCACTGATCCCAAACGACCAGCGTGAGAATCAGGCAAAGTCTAGACATATAAACTGGGCAGCGAGTCTTTAGGTCATTAGTGGAGGGCCTGGCAGAGGTTAGTAGAAGTCGAACGAAAGAATGTGTAGATGTCGACTTCGAGGAAGTTGCTCGCATGTAATCAAGTCGCGAGGACGCTGTACGAGTAGAAGTATGGACTCAGGTATAGAAATGAGTCATACGCTGACTGGATGAAGATGTGGGTCTTCCAAACCTGCAACGAGTTTGGATTCTATCAAACCTGTGACTCGTCGAAGAACTGTCTGTGGCCTCCGCGGCTCAATGATCTCAAGTGGAATATGAAACTCTGCGAAATAGGCTGGGACTTTACTCCAGAAGAAGTAGAGCCACTATGCTTTAGCTTACTTATCTGAATCGAATAGTTGTACGCGGGGATTCATGGAATGCTAACTCGGAAAAATGTTCTTTTTGCTGGCGTTGAAGCCGAACTACAGTCCAAGGCCAAGAAACAACCCGGCCTCATTATATGGTCAGATATCGGCTAATATACAGCATACGAACAGAAAGTATGGAGGCTTATCGCTCAACGCTTCACGCATCCTCTCCGTCAACGGTGGTGTGGATCCCTGGCATCGCCTAGCGCTCGTAACGTCAGATAACTACGAACGACCAACTATTTGGGTGATTTCATCTAGCAATATGACTTAACCATTACTCGGTCTGTGCCTAGGTCCCTGGAGCCTCTCATCACTACTGGACTCACAGAGGGAGCGAGGAAGTGGATCAAAACATTGCGTAAGTCTACTACTGTATGAGGGATATGAACTATCATCTCAGACGCGCTCGTTCGGGAATACGCGATGTAGTCAAGCAGTGGCTCGAAGAAGATGCTGGGACCTTCGTGCCAGAGATGATGGTGTGACCATTCCACTTAAGATTTTGATGAAGTTTATAGCGAAGTCGCTCCTGTCCCAAGGCATTAGTTGATCCCTGAGGGATCCCTCATATATGCATCAGTTTTGTTGTTTCGAGTGTCACCGAGTTGGAGTGAGGGAGCTAAGAATAGGATCTCTTTCCTGCCAGATCACGACCATCCTCTCAAGGGCAGCCTCGATATTCTCCTGTAGACCCTTTTCCATGGAAGGGGGTCATATCCTTCATCTGCTACTATTTGATCGTGGAATGTCCCATTCGTGGCATCTGCATTTTCCATCTCTCTTCTTGAGAAATGTGATTCTCACATTTTTGGCCTCTTTGCGTTCAAATATGGAAGGGACTGATGCATCTGTCATCTTGTGATAAACCAATTCGAGAAAGGAAAGAATTCGAAAACAAGTTTAGTCCTGTACCACTCCTCAGTGAAAGCATTGCACATTTTGACGAGGAGTTTTCCTAATGCATACAGTATAACCTTCAAGTGTATAAACACGACGTCCAACTACCCTGTGACGCACTCAGAAACTCAATCCAGTGATCTTCGAAATGCACTTGTGGCATCTCATTTCATAGAACACTCAAATCTCTGAAATGCAGTGGCGATAACGCAAGAAATCATAGTAGGAACAGGAATAGAGAGCACATAACAGAAATCAACTTATCATTTGAGATATCTCGCAAGCATCTTCTACTCCAACCTGCAGCTTGCAGCGTCAAGGTGGTAGTTTTGAATACAATCGGTATAATTCATCTGTTGAGAGAAGGGATCGCCATAGAAACATCGAGACCATTCCCAATTATGTATGGCATATAGTGTACCATTGACATCGAATAACTTATTGTACTGCTCCTGTGTGACAATACCTGTTGGGACCATCAAACTAGTGAGATCTTCTAACTGGTCCCACACATACTCGATACCACCATCAGGATCGGGATATTTACTCGTATCATAAGCACACATAGAAAGTTTACCACAACCATTACCCATCTCGCAGGAGCCTTCGACCATGATAGTGATCTTCGCTCTCAGGTCCTCCCATCCGGGCTGCGTACACACGACGCATTGGTCTGTCATCATCCACTGCATACGCTCCAACAAACCATCATTGTTAGTGCCATTAACCGAGTTACGGTATAGCATCATGAGTGCCCTATCAGCATTCTGCATGACATAAGTAGTTTCTTGCTGATTGGGCTCACCCTCGATAGTACTACCCACAAAGATGGAATTGGGTAGATAACCCATACCCTCGGTAACATTAGCAATCATCTGTCTCGAACTGGTCAACGCTTGTAAGTAGTAATTATCAGGGACATGCTCCACATCAAAACTGATACCAATAGGCGCTATCTCTGCCATATCCTGGGCAGAAACCGAGCGAATAAGGAACTGCTCGAAAGTGTTTACGAAGGCGCACATCTTTTGACCATCCCTCTCGGTGACATCACCATAAGTCAACCAAATGATAGCATCGTTCCCACTATCCTGACGCCACTTCTTCATCCAAGCAACCAATTGCGGTTGGTACTTGATGATGTTGTAGTTTGTAGGATCAGCCACGTTGATGTAAAGCTCACCACAATTCCACGTCCTACCCATATCACTTGAAATGAAGTCAGTTAGAGCGGGATCTCCTTCACTCCAGTAATCTTGAGACCAGGAATAAATGCCTATGGGGCGACCAGTGCATGCATTGGTAGGTGGGGGTCTAGTTGTTGGAGGGGGGCCTGTAGTCTTAGGGAACGTAGCCTGCTGATTCGGATCCGAGGGTAATTGAGGAGGTAGAGTCTCAGGGCTACTATCACTACCCGAGTCTGTTGAACAACCAGAAAAGCAAAATGCCAGTATAACCGATACCAACGTCGAGAAGAGCTTCATACTCATAACCGTAAGGTGCTACTTTTCAAGTGGAAGTCACAGTGAGGTATTGTGACAAGTGCAACACAACTTGGCTTCGTTGTACTGTCCCGTGTTGTGAATACTACCACGTGTTGAACATCCTCTTAGGAGTACTACACGAGAATCCGATGTTGGCTCGTAACCATATTATCTCATGAGCATTCTCTGAGCAATGTAATCTGCTCACTTTTGATATATGTAGTGGTACCATGGGAACTCCCTCAGCTTCGACTTGAACTCTCGATGTCCTTGAAATTTGGTAGAACATCTCAATTGAAACGGTCCTTAACTACCATCAATACACAATTACGTTCTTCTGCTCTAAGGCTGTGGTCATCGTCTCTTGAGTCCCTTCCCTCCTCTCGACCTTCGTCGCTTAACGAATGTTCAGAACGGTTTGATTACTGCTCCACTTGCTGCTGCTGCCATCGCTTTTTTTCAACTGGTAGAACACCTCACCTTGGTATCACCAATATTCAGAAAACGGATTGATAAACGTGATTCTATGAAGTATGATTTGATATGATCAGAGAATTTCGTCACGTGACCAACTTGAGAACCAATCTCTATACAAGCGGTTATCCTCGTGTGATACGTTATCGTGATGACTGCAAACTCGTTGCATAACGCGTGTGATACTCCTTGTATTCAGTCGACCATAGTCTACTCATGGTAGGTTTCTTTTTCATCTCATATCCTACTAGTTCCTATAATGAGGTGGTCTACTGCAGCATCGGCTACTTGTACGTTACTCATGTTCGGCATGCAAGGATGTTCGACAGCAGGTGGTAGTAAAGGTAGTGGGAATTTGCCATCCGCTCTCCCTGATGACCCTAACCAACCGGTGACATTCCCTGCTAGTACTCCTTTCCCACCGACTGCTAGGCCAATATCCTCTGATGCGTGTAGTGGGAATAAGATTGGTACCTATACCTGGTCTCAGAGCTATTGGAGGGAAAGTGATGATTCTTTGATTAACTTCGCTACGAGTGATATGGGCCGTCAGTGGAATTGTGGAGATTTGTATATCAACATTGCTGATGCCTCGAACTATAACATCATTAAGGATCAGACCAAGCTCGTAAGCTGGATGAAGAAGTGGCGTCAGGAGACTGGTAACAACGGCGTCATCTGGCTCACTTATGGTGATGTTGTCGATAAGAATGGCGAGAAGATGGTGGGATTCGTGACGACCTTCGAGCAGTTCCTCATGCGTTCCGTGTCAGCGCAGACTATGGCTGAGATAGCCCCTATTGGTATCAGCTTTGATGTTGAGCATATTGCCGATAATTACTATAAGGAGGCTCTCACGAAGTCACATGACATGATTAACGAGGTGACTCAGGGTATGGGGTATCTACCTAACTCCATTTACGTTGATAGTACCATCGAGGGTGAGGAGAACTCTCAGGAGACTGAATACGTTATGCGTTATGCAGACCACGCCCTTATGATGTTGTACAGAAATGAATTAGGTGGTAGTTATGAGGATGATCTGCTCGAACGCATGAAGTGGATGATGACCGAGCAATGCACCGTATGTACTAAGCCTGGTTGGGAGGATCTCAAGGCTAAGATTACCATTATGGTCGAAGGCTCGTGTAAGATGGGCCACGGGTGTGGTAAGCTGTCTATGTGCGCTAAGGATACCTCCTCTTACCCCGACGCTAATGGTGGCATCGAGTACATCTGGAACACCCTCAACAATCTGACCAAACGTATGGTAGAGGAGGGTGTCGTGACTCAGGAGCAGTTCGATCATCTCTTCGACGTCAACGGTACACTGTTCGCGGTCCATAACTGGGAATGGTCTCGCTGTTTTTATGGAGATAGTTACTCTCAAGACATGGGCTTCTCCGTTTGTAAGGATTATCATTCTATGGCTGCCGACTGTCGGCTGAAGTAAATCGGCTATCATGTGTTTTCCTTAATGTCCTGCATACACTGTCCACTAGGTTGTGGTGTAAATATAAACCATCCTTTTCCTTACATGTAAACATCATCTATTGTGTTGTTACTTAACCAACGGGAACACGCAGTACTTGAGAAACTACAAGCATCCAGGACAGTGACGGAGCTTGTTATGAGCAAACATATCACATTCGTAGCAAACATCACTCAAACACTGATCACATCTAGCGCCGCCCTCTGTGAAGTCAGTTCCACAAAATTGGCATGTATAGGACTTGGGGTAGTCTACCGTCGGTAGTAAGGTGTACCTATATTAGACTCAGCTACTTGGGAAGTAGGAACTTGATTACGTTGGCATAGAGTAAATGTGTCGATGATGTTTCTTCAGCGCATCATCATCCACTAAGGGAAGTCTACATACTGGACAGTTAACTGGTATCTCACAGACTGGGCTGTGGCACTGTGGACAAATGTACCTGATTGTATAGGCATAACTCCCCACCACCACAACACTGTTTAGCAAGACTCACACGAAGGTCTTTTGTAGCCTATTGTGACACATACACTTTATTGGTGGATCTGCTGTATGGTTACCATCGCATGCTCTTCGTACTGGGAATCCCATTTTGATATAGCTCGGGGAGCTCACCCAATTTGGTGGCGTGAGATGCTCTGATTACCCTAGACTCCAGTATTGGTAGCGAACAGAGAACTTACTCTGCATTAAACGTTTGAAATGTATAGGACTAGTAGCAACAGAGAAGGTGCCACCAGTCATCTCTACAACTTTCCGTAACGCATACAGTTCTGGCGATAGTGATATCACAGACACCTGGGCGTGATGATCATGTCTGGACAGACATGGAAGAATAGATTACCCTCACTGAGTTGGGCTTGATTTCCTCTATAAGCCTATCAACACAGTCTGGTATGAGCTTTCCACTGGTAGGTGGATCTGCTGAGTGCAACGAACCCCATACTATTAACACCTCACGTGTGCCTGATAAGGATCGTAATCCACCCATACTCTCTCCCCTATATATCACCATAACGAGGTAGACTCCCTTTAGCAGCCTGACCCACTGCTTCAAGTGCATTGACGAGGGATGCTGAGCCTGAGGCCCCACCAGTGGAGAACTGGAGGACTCGCTCCATTTGGGAGGCCGGTTGGCCCGACATACCTGCATGCTTGAGTAGTATAGTATATGGTTGAGCGGAAATGGTTACGCGTGACGAAGTGAGCCCTCTGGTCTCGTAATGCAAGGACGGACAGGTTACTGATAGGGTTGAGGTCGAAGTATTGGGGGATGAAATTACGACAAAGATGCGATACTACGAAATCTAACCTGAGATCATCAGAGAATGACTTCGGCGTGATCCCCCTTGATATAACCTATTCTGTTTGTAATCCATATTCTGCATAGCAGAGCTCATATCTACTACCAAGTACAGGAACCGTAGTAAGCCTCTCTTCAAGGCCATTGACTGCTTATGGACTAGTTCGCCATCCTCACCAGCTGAGACTGGGAGCACACCATCGTAGTTCCGCGGGTATCTGGTTAGGCGATGTACTATGAAATATGGGTAGATAAAACGCCTCACTTCCGAGCAATGGAGGCTTCGTCTCGCACTACCAGTTTGCCGTGCCTAAACACACATCACTCTATACCGTATTTATTTCCCGTGTACGATACTGGTCTTTGGTGATGTTGATCCAACTCTTAGTGTAATCAGCCTCCCATGCATGAGCCTCGTCCAATTGTCCAGCACCACTGGAATCCCCTGCCGACTTCTCCAAAACTACATCCTCGACTAACTCTGTCATGTAGGCAAGGGTTGATTCAACCACACACACTGCGTAGATTAGCACGGTCAGAAATATGATTCATAGTTCTCACACGAACACAGGAATCCTCCAGTCAGAGATCACTGCTCAGTAGTTAGTGATGTTGAGTGATATATCTATGTTCTACTAGGACGGTCGCATGCAAGGTTGTCCAGGGCCCTCTTTAATGTCTCACGAGACGATAAATGTCCGTTTGTTGGATATGATATTATCTCTCGTACGCTGGTTATGGTGAGAGCACTCCATGGTTAGAGTTCACTCCTCCATATGGGATTAACACCAAGCAAGTTGAATGAATCACCTCTTCTAGTAGTTTTTCCTGGCGAAGAGTTTGAGGGGGTATGCCAATAGTACTCAAATGATGATTTTTGACGGTTGAACAGCTTCAGGTTGTCACTCTCTTTCATTATTGATAAACTTTATAGTAATTATAGCACTATGGTTCTCAGATGTCAGCATTACTACGCTGATGATATTCATTATTCAGCATATCAGTTGTTGAATTGCTGACTTGTGCATTTATTGAAGCAATACCACGCGCTACGAAACTCTCTCATGCGCCACAAAATTCTCATGCACGCGTTTCTACTCCCATGAAGGTGTTGACATCCAGAAACTTGCTTAGCGTCTTACAAACATTTCTAGCCACGGTCCTGGAAACGTTCTTATGACTCCGGAACGGTTCATTGAACAACCCGTTAGATTCAAGATGGCGCCTTCATCCATAGACTAATCAATACTCCAGTTAGTGCCAGTATCCCATGTATAAACTGCTACTATGTTAACATTCAACATCAAGTGTTTGCACTAAATGTGTCCCCCAATGGGGACTCCCCATAGGCTCGAGCCAGCAGTTAAAATCCAAGTTTTGTATTCTTCAGCCTCTCAGCAAGGTTGCACTGTATGTAGCTAGCCTAGTTTCATTAACAATAAATGGTGGTTAGACCTAGTCGTATAGTGAAGTCTCAGCTAGTATGGACAGCGATACTAGGTTCAGCAGCAATAGGGGCTGTCGGTGTTATTAGGGCTAATAGGAATAAAGCAAGCAAGGACTGTGTGGATAGATCCACTCGCGATGAAGGTATGCTTACGTTGGAGATGCATTTGTAAGAGTCAGCGCCTTGTAGATGATATTGAAGGCCATTCGGCGAGGAAGAAGCTGTCACGAAGTGATCTGTGGAGGGTCATAATTAGGATACTTGATCTCAAGAATGACAGGCATGCTCAGAAGCTTTGTAAGGAGTTGCTCCGATGTGTTATTATGCCTATCGGGTTTATTACTGCTAAGGATAACCCCCTGATGTGATCAGGTATATTCATGTTGGGGATAGCATGCATCTTTGCTCAAATAGATGTCCGGAAGGCTAGGTTACAAGGAGAACTTTTTAGAGCGGTCTTTGAGGGCCGCAAGGATGTCTTTGGATCACTCCTCATCCGCAATCTGGCCTTGGGTTTTGCCCTATCCGTCGCGAGTAAAGCCCTGGCTAATTTTGTTAGTACTATGGGATGCTTCACTTTTCTTCTAATTGGTTAACCTTTGGTATCTTAGGTAGTCTTGGTCGCCATTGGCATGCTAAAATGGCTATGTATCTACAGGGCCTCTACTTCGACAGCCTAAACTACTATCACCTTCAGGGGAAGGCTCATGCTTATGATAGGATATGCACTGATGTGACATCACTCCATATCCCTTATTGTGACTTCGACGATAGGTTCCACTCCTCACGAGGGATCTTGGGCTCGCAGCATGTGACTTAGTTAATAGTATCACCAACTTCACGTTTTTCTCGAGCCTTATATATCCGTTTGCCAAGAGCATAAGTGGATCAAGGATGGATGGTCTGAAGCTCACTGCTGGTCCGATATTGTACTACCAACCTCACCTAGCAAAGCTGAGCTATGACATGCTGTAGGTATGCAGCATCATCCTACCTTATAGTCCAACGCTTAGCCCCGGACTATGGTTCACAGAGTGAGTGAGGAGATCTCCGACTTGGTTTAGTCGGTGGTTATACTGTTAGGGAAGCGACTACGAAAGCTCGAGTCTACATATAAGCATGGGCATTCTAGACTGGCCAGGAACTCTGAGGCTGTTGCCCTTTACCAAGGAGGGTATTGACACAGGATTGTACCTAGTGATATCCCACCTCCTTATAGGCCATATGAGAGTGAAGTGCTCCAGAATGCATTTGAAAGGCTCTTGGCATACTTGGATAAGATACGTCATGATAACTTCATATCGAACGTGTTGCAGGAGTAGGTGGTAGGATGGTTATTAGCTTGGCATTGTGCTCTCAGATACGTTGCACGTTACTGTACGTTTACTCTAGCCATGTACCTTATCCTTATACCCTTCTTCAAACAGAGTAGGGCAGGGAAATCTAAAGGCGATATGCTATATCAGATAAGGTCAGTACACTCGAGACGTTCTATCACCTTGCTATTATTTCCTTTATATCCGTTCTCAGATATCTGACAGACATGCTCCTCATGGAACTGGTAGCATGTGCCCAATTCGCCAGACTAGCAGGGACACTAGCTCGACTGGCAGGCTTGGTGGATCGTTGTGGGAGGCTGGTAGTAGTGATGATGATGATGCTATTGTTGGTTATATTAGACCATAGGTCATAGAGATGGAGGATCGGAAGGCATTGACCTCATCCAAAGCTAAGGCCGAGGCAACTCGGAGGAGGTTCAGTGCTGACGCCGAAGCGGCTGAAGTCATTTTCGAGGGAGTAGATATCGATACTCCCACGGGGCATCGTCTAGTAATGGAGTCTTCTCTCGCGAGGCACTACTTGCCTCGGCCCAGGTTACGGACCTCAACCTCCGTATCAGCAGAGGGGATAATGTCATTATATGTGGCCCGAATGGTGCTGGGAAATCTAGTATTTTCCGGTGCTTGGGTGGTCTATGGGATATTAAGCGAGGTAGGCCAACGAAGAGTTATAAGTGGTGGCAAGTTGAGCTTAGTCGAGTGACGGCAAGATTATAATTGATATATCAGGTACCATCACTAGGCCTGGTAGTAGGGGAGGAGTTGGCCTTCATAGCTATGTATTCTACCTACCCCAGAAGCCCTATTGTGTTGTGGGCACCCTTTCCGATAACATATGTTATCCTGATAGCAACAGACCAGATGAGGGGCAGCTGGTATCGTTACTACGCCTGGTTGAACTATCTCATCTCAATGACTTTAATAGTATGTCCTTGGACTGCATTAGCGATAGGCAGCTTCCTGGTAGGTGTTATCGATTGGGATTCCCGGCTATCTCTAGGGGAGCAGCAGAGATTATCAATGGCACGACTATTCTGGCACAGGCCTACCTTTGCTATCTTGGACGAGTGTACTTCGGCGGTGAGTATTAAGATGGAACGAAGGCTCTTCAAGTTATGTGGTCAACTTGGTATATCACTTATTACTATATCCCATCGTCCAGCACTGCATGAGTTCCATCATCATATGGTTACACTGGATGGTTGTGGAGGGTGAGCTCTCCCCTGCTACTGAGTACGGTTAGCCTGCTATCGTTGAGAAGGTATACTATAACGTCTATCGAAGGGTCCACAGCTCGCAATGCACCATTCAAAGCATCGCAGTCCTTGCAGTCCCTCCTCCAAACAGGCGCCTTACCTTTTACCGAGATTGTCCGTCGGTTCGAGAGTAGGGTTGACCCGTTTTCATGCCTCGTGTGAGTGCTCTCTCCCAGAGACGGGGTCCCTACAGCAGCTAGGTAGTGCTATGACTACAACTAACCAGTCACGTGAGAGTAATCCGCATGGCCCAGGTGAGCTAATACCTATGATGAGTGAATGTGACCACATTCAATAGCCGCTGGTGTAGGTTCCCAGCGTAGTGGCCTTACTACACAGACTACCGTCAATATACCACGTCTAGTGAAGCTCCTGGGTCCCATTGATAGGGCTCAAGGCGCGAGGTTGATGGGGCTTTTATCGGTCATCATTGGAAGTGGGATAATAATTGACGCTAGCATACCTGACCATGTGGATATTAGGAACCTACGTTAGTAATAGGATAGCTCATATCAATGGTCATGCATTGAGGTTGCTAATGCAGAGGAAGACTGTGGATTTCTATGCTTTGGTATGATGATCAGTATTATCACGATGCGGTCGAGCATGATGTCAGTCTATATTAGGTAGTTAATGCCCTTATGATGGGCCTCGTTCAGGCTGTTCTCACTCCTCTTGGTGATATCATTGAGGCTGGCATTGCCGACCATTGGCGGCGACAACTCACGAATACACTCTCTAAACGGTAGGTGGGGTTGTGTACTTCACTTTCGCATGTACGTGTAGGTATTTCAAGGACTCCACCTTCTATCACTTGGTATCGCCAGCTGGCGGCTGTGATCAGGTCATTGTGGAGGACGTCCCTAAGGTGGGATACATCAGGGCTTCCTGCCATTCTAAGTGCGTTCCTCTTGATAGTTGGCTGAGGCTCTGGCAAACATGCTCAGTGATACACTAAAGCCGCTGGTGGATCTGGGCTGGTTTAGTGCGGGTGTCTTGCAGCTTACGGGTAGATATGAGGAGCATTGTCTTGTTAGTTATGGTAATGAGCCTACCACCTCAGGCACCACTGGTCTGTCTTCTTTATTGACCTACATCATTTCCGGGATGGTGTTCCTTCGTCTCATCCGTCCTGATCTTGCCGGATTGACGGCCAAACGAGAGGAGCTGGGTACCGCATTTTCATTGTGTTTGCCGTGGGAATATGAGTTGTAGATGGGGCCTTCTCAATGTTCCATGCCCGACTGAGTCAGTGTGCTGAGTCCATCGCCTTCCTCGATGGTGGTGCTGTAGAGTCACGGACAGCTGATAAGTACTGATAGAACGAGTCATCCAGGTCACAGGTTAGGGGATATCACTCAGGTTGTTGGCGGCTAAGTTAGACTTCCAACGTACCTCCAAGAGGCTTGAACATTTCTACGGCATATTCGATTTTTTCATATCCCAGATGGTACCCCAGAACGCATCTTGGGTGCTCAGCCTTATGTACCGCCAAGGCGCTGGTGGCGTTGAAGGAGATGAGTATCTGAGTCATACACTGAGGTGAAAATCGAAATCGTTTGGGGGTTGTGGCTGAGCACTTGTTAGGTATCTTGGCTCTGTGGTATCGCATTCATTCTCGGCATTGGGTATGTTGATGGAGCTGGGTGGCAAGTGGGTGGGAGCTAGTGGACATGCTTCAAGGGTAGTGCTGCTACATATGCACAATAGTCAAACTTTATATTGGTATCGTCCCAGGTGGAAGAGCTCCTGAGGGCCTGTGAGAAAACTACCGCTCGGTTGGATGGGAGAGTTGATGGTAATTCTTGATGGTCACTGACGGATTTATTTGGAATACACCTTAGCTGAATCTAGTCACGTCGCAGAAGTTGCCAAGGATATGATAAAGCTTGAGCAAGTGGATATTCAGACCCCTGATGGGGGTCTTGTACTGGTAGGATAGCCTCATGTGGTATTGCGACAGTGTACTTACTATAGGCATCCCAGCTGAGCATCATGGTGGATTCCAATACTGATAAGGGTATGATCATAACTGGCCCCAACGGTTGTGGCAAGAGCGGTGTTCTACGTAATCCCTGGCTCTATGGTTTAGATCCACTACATGAGCACGAACAGGTACTATAGTAGGGCTGTGGTCTCCTGGTGGTGGTACACTACTAACTCCATCGGCTAAGGAACTGCATTACGTTCCAACGAAGCCGTATATGCCAGAAGGAACTCTAGCAGACTTGGTCACTTATCCGCACAGGGTAATCCTGCACGGTTTAATAACGCACAATGGTGAGCCTCCATGATGCTAGCGTCAGGCCGGCGCTGATGAGACAACTCTGTCGAGAGTTGAGGAATGCTTACATCATGTTCATTTGAGCTATCTCGTACCACGCCAGTCTGAAGGGCTACTAACTCTAGATGAGGATTGGGAGAATAAGCTTAGTCTTGGTGACAGCAGAGAATAGGCATGGCTAGGCTATTGTAATATTGGTTTCTTCCCATCATGGAGCTCCTCTTGATGATGCTGGTATTACTCAGTTTCCGCAGCCCGCTTGGGCACTGCTGGATGAGTGCACCAGTGCAGTGGCTCTCGATGGGGAGGAGAGCATGTATCGCCATCTTAGAGATGAATTTCACTGTGATGCTCTGAAACACGAAAATCCCATGCCACTGTCGTTGTAGGTACGGTCCTTACAGCATCGCAAAAGCCGTGGTTGCTCAATTTTCACTCGCAGTTATTGGAGCTAGGGACAGGGACTGGATACGCCAGCTGGAGTGTTACTAGGATCAATGATGGGAATGGTCAAACAGATGGCTCTGGGTGGGATTGAGAGGGAGTAGACCATCCTTGAGGAGGAGCCTTTCAGGTTATCTCGAAGGTTACCAGACTTGGTTTATGTAGATAAGCGTCAGCCGAATGGCGTCTTGCCCCAGCGGCCTGTGAATCAGGTTTGTGTTTTCCTTTTCAAGTGTAGTGATTATGTAATTTCAGGAGCCGGCGTCAGTAGAGCAGTTGGATGGCAAAGATGATGGCGGTCTCTACACGTATGATGAGGTCTTCCGTTCTTATGAGTCCAGTCCGAGTACCGAGAGGAGCAACGAGTCTTGTGAGGATGATATAAGGCAGGAGGCGGTCCCGACCACGGAACCTAGTGGGGTCCGACTTTCGAGCGAGATGAAGTCTGCTGGTGAGGTGGATTCCCAGGCACCATCCAGGGGGGGCAGACGGGACCGGAAGGTGATGGGTATTCGTACGGGCTCTGTAGCACCGTGCACATTTGGTTCTAGCTCTAGTATTGATTCATCTCTCAGAGCACCAGAAGACACGGTCGACGGGGCGGACAGAGATGAAGATATGTCAAGTGATAGTAGCTGACCTATGACCTCCATGCTAACGTGCATGGGTACCCTTCAGTGTCATTCAAGTTCTTGGATAATGGATGGTTTCGTTTTAACTTGTTTTCCGCCTTGAGTTTGAAGGATTGCCTTTGTCATTGGTCCTGAGTGTCTACCCAGGGTAGGTTAGTGTCTTGAAAGTATTCTCCATCGCCATGGGATGTGCTGAGAGCAAAAATGTGGTGGATAACATAACAACGCCAAGCAGTGCGGGGTAATGTGTCCGATGACCCCCTTGGACTATATCCTATCAGGTCTCTCGACTCGACACCAACGCCGTACAAAGAGGGTGTGGTACCGCTAACACCAACACTGCATATGGATGGGTGTAACACCATATCGACTCTTCTTACATGATTGCCTCTCCTTCAGCCCTGCCATCTACTTCAACTACTTCCTCCTCAACACGTGTCCCAGATGAATCTATGCGTAATCATGATCAGCACTTACCTCCACTACCGGGCTTGATGGCCCATAGGAAGCCTAGATCAGCTCGACCTGCAACAAGCAGATCTTTGGATGCTTCTGGTAAGTGCGTGGGGTTGCTCTTTTGATTATCCTTACAATACTTCAGGTGTGATGAGCACCCCTACTATGTATAGGCGTCGGTAAGTTATTAATGCCTATCACAGAGTAAACCATTAGCAGGTACCCTAGTGCATCCCCTCGTATCACCACTAGCAGCCTAGGTGAGCAGCCATCGGCTCCCTATGTACCTCATTAAAATCTGTTTATCTCTCAGCTGGTGATACCCCACGTACACGCGGAGCCATCGGAGTGTCACCATCATGTAGCCTGTATGCGTAGGCAACTTCTTATTTTAGCTCTATACAGATATGGTGCTGATACTTTCAGGTATCAGAGCTCACCTCGTGGCGCAGTCATCGTCTCAACACCGCGAAGGAGAGAAGCAAGGGTGAGACTATGACTCCTCCTTATGATAATGACTTGTCTTCCTCAGAGCCGAGGTATGGCGACCTATGCAGCTCGAAGAATACCGCGTAACAGCGAGGTTATGGCGGCATAACCCTACATTATATCATCTCGCATTGTCCATTCCGTCGGTTGATAGAATGATGTTCATTCGATTGCCAGTTTATTGAACAGTTCCTCTTACCTCTTGTTCGTCTGCATCGGAGGAAAGGCCTTTTTAGGGCACAGCGTTGAGTGGCAACATGATGCCTTAGTTGCGCTCGACTTGTTGTTCCATTCTGCTGTTCTAGTATCATCATTAGCCACCATTGTTGCTGTTGTGATGCTCGATACTATTATAATGTAAATAAGGTCTTAACAACCAGTAAGAGCAGCAGCGATACTGATATTAGTTGTAGGAGAATCCTCGTAGACCCCCGTCTCCTCATCTATATCACTGTTGTATGGAAGAAGATTGAAGTACTTGTATAAAATCTAGGCAACATTGCGGGTTCCATTAGAGTTGTGATATTGGTTGTAAGTATTGATATGATGTCTGCTGTACTTCTGGTAGTTCTAGTCATCATTGTGAAGTCGGTCACAATGAGCCATTCATCTCTTACCAACTTTCAACTGATCTCCCTTCTTTCCCCGTTCACTCGTATTCCGAATTTTCGAGGCCTGTGCGCTCTGAGGTGAGTGTGTTACTGACCATTCAAGTGCAGTTGAGGACTCATCGTTACCTTCATCGTATCCGATCAACTTCGCCATTATTATGCTATCGTTACACAGCTATAATGTCCGCTCGACCCGCTTGAGGTGATCTTCCTGTAGTCGCTATCCTTGCCTTCGTTGGGTCGTACCTATCAATGGGTAGAGTCTACGTCACATGTGCACCACCTTCTTCACTGCTGTATACTTATCGTTATCCTTAGTGACCTATCTCTCGTCCTCATCCTCCTCATTATCACTGTACCAATCGGTTGTTGTCCACTGCGTTGTTCCCATCTCGTTTCAGCTCGTTGATGCTTGTATGTATCGGAGGCGAATGGACGGTACTCTCCCGTTATGTTATCCACTGTACGAGATGGACGACGTTCATTCCCCTGTTCAATGCATAGTGAGCCTGTATGCGACTGTAGTCATAACAGTCGTCACACACCTCCATATTGGTTATAGTATCTGAAAGCTGTCGTCCTACATCATTTATATACAGTAGTAGTTGTTCTATGCCCCTCGGGATGTGCTGCACTATGGTAGTTTATCTCAAGAGTGCATGTATGCAGCGATGTTGGTGACGATGAGACGACCACAAAGGGTCGAATCCCCCCACGGCACAAGTTCTGCCATTCACACTAGCAGTTTTGCGAATATCATTGAACGGTCATGATGCAACTGTATCATGTAGCCCCACTAGGTGTGAGGGTCTTCTTGCATGGGCCCTCGGTTGGTGTGGTCTTCCTGATTGTCCGAAGTATCTACTTAACTTTCCCTGCTGCTGTCTTCCATAGAGCTCCTGCGACTTCGTTGGTAATTTCTAACATCATTATTAATGAGTGACTTGAGTTGACTGTCTACATTTAGGATGGTAATGGAAGATTATATGCATATAATGAAACGCTTACTCATCGTTGAATACTTGATTGGTTAACACTCGATGTGCTGTGCGGCTCATTAAGGGATTTAAACCATGTTAGTTAGAAGTTATTTGCACTCAACCTGGTTATTTGGGATTCATCGGGGAAGGAGCTCGTGTAGGTTGTCACCGTAAATTAGAAGAGCACATAGATTTTAGGCAGTTCACGGGGACCTCCGGGATCGAACCCTTGTCCTGGCACTTGGAACCTATATTCCTCAGTGTAATCTTATGACCCTGTTACCAGCAGGAGCATGTCCATCTCGCCGAGCATCACTTCCGACTTACTTGACACCATTCCAGTCGTCAACAGGAACTGATGCTGATTCCGGTGGCCAACCATTCCTTCCCATAGAATCCAAGAGCTCAAGGGGATATCGTCATGCTACTCGATGTAAGCGGCCTCGCAGATTGTATACACCTCACTGATGAGCTGACAGTTCTTATTTCAGTCGTAACGAGAGCTCCTCAGCCTCCTAGTAGTTTATCCCCACTTGACGCGGAAGGCTTTCGATCGAGCTCTCACGAGAAGGACCAGCTCTCACCAGGATCGGTGCCGTTGGGGACGCGCTCGCCATGCAGCAGTAGCGTCGGATCGGAAAGTGCCGGAATGAATGCAACCAATCGACGTCGAGGGTCTAGGGCCAATTCTAAAGGCCACAATGTTAACTTTCAGAGAGTATGTGATGACGGATTAACTATAAACAATGAGGTCGGTGACCTCCCTTCAAGTGTCTCACACCTGATCGGTCGAACTAAGGAGGCTGAGTGTGTGAAGGCGTTACACATCGTGGTAAGACAGTCTTATGAGGATGAAGATGTTTGGCCAACGACAACAGCAGGAGAAGATGGTTCTTCTTCTTCTCATAGATCTGATGGCTTCGATCAGTTTCTATGGGATCGTATTATGGCCAGTGGACCTCAATTGAGCAAAGGACCATCATCATCAACAACATTCACTAGCTGTCATTCTGATACCACTGAATTGGTGAGACGATCGACAGATCCTCAACTGTCGTCGACTCCACATCCTCATAATCAAACCCTTACATGTGTGAGAGCAGATGCTAATGAACGGTGTAAGCGGATCGGTGGAAGATAGCCATGTCTAGTTCGATTATCCTTTTGTATATACCGAACGCATTAAAATCGTCCTTCCTGCTACATCGAGGCTCACCACCTCATATTATGCGAATTCTGTTATGAGCCGTTTGTACCATGGACGCCAGGTAGCTCACTTATACCGGCCCACTGGCCACCTACATGTTGTTTATTCCTTAACGAACTCTTTGACGAGGTCTTAATGACTTCTAGACTCCCAGAGGCTCACAGCGTATTGTTGTCGCTGTAAATCGTTCTGATCAGATCAGCGGCTTCTCTATTCCAAGTATAACATTCTGATTTCCTTGCGGGCTATACTGTAGCCTTGGATTATGGGTCAATACTGACGTTTCTATCTTCTCAGACTCCGTCTCTTGTATGGCTCCTGCTCGTGCTATGTGGTTATGATAGACGGCAGATATCCCTGTACGAGGCAGCATTGGAAGTATGTATTATATCGGTAGTCACTGGATATAGATGGGACTGCAGTAGTCTATAGGTTGGGGGCTACGACTTCAGTATGTAGTAGTATCTATCAAGGCCTATAGCATGAGTAGACAGCATCATGTGATAGACGGCTATCCTCATAATGAATTCTATTCTAACTGTCGTAATTAGGGAGCATCCTCCGTGTCCCCAGTATCCAGAAGAAGACTCCGGTTTTTACGGGCTTATGCTGTACCGGAAGGGATGCCCCCGCATCTCACGCCTGGATATTGTAGGGGTCATATCCTTTGGGATGTTGTTGAGCACAATGCTGAATGTCTTACACTTTATTATGGCTTCTGTAATCAGCGAGAGAGCTGTATGGAGCTATCACGTCGCAGAGCTTCACACCTAGGAAACGGTAGTCTGAGTGATATTCCATGAGAGCGCTCGAACAACAGTAATATACCTCATGATTGGTCTCTGAGATCTTGATGTGACCCGACCGGGCTGAACGTGATGATGCTGTAGCGTATGTAGTGTTTGTCAATGATGTGGGAATGGGTTCGTCCGCATTGTAGTAGGTGAAGGCCTATGTCTAACACTCCACCACGGTTACCTCAAGATCGGCATCATCATAACCGTCCTTCCTCTACACCCTTTGTGCGTGAAGAGCCACAGGAGCGGATACCTAGGAAGCGGTGTCGGGGTGGATCTAGTGATGCTCCACTGAGCATTGACCTCAGCCGTTTAGTCCTCTCCCCCTCATCAATAGGTCCTCTACCACATCATCATCACACCCCCGTTGGAGGTTGGGTTGCTGCTGAGGACGTTGATAGTATGAATACTTCTGATATCGAGATCGAGGCTATAGAAGGGAGACTTCGTGAGTTGAGGATCCGCAAGGCACGACAAATTGCTGTAGAATGCTCCTTGTTGAGGTCAGAAGGATGCTCCGCTCGATCCCCAGGACAGGAGATAGATCTATCCTCCCCATCTCATTCAAGTATCCAAGAGAGGTCTCCCGATTCACCGTGCAGTCCTGATCGTAGCCCTGCGCGGTCCTCCTCACCCCGTTGTAGAGTATGTGATGGCATGTTATTGAGGTTGCCAGACCTACATCCACTGCCCCAACCCTCATCCCCGCACATCGCTAGCTCTCGAGTATCTATGATCAGCCTATCGCCTCCCCTTCGAGGCATGGTGGGGGGATGCAGGCAAGCTCACCGTCCTCCACGACGACGATCTCCTTCCCGAACTGGTGAGCAGCTAGAACAGCTCGTTGCGCATCGCGTCAGTCCTTCATCCCCAAGAGGTCCGTGCAGTCCCCAAGGGATGCGTACACTCGATGAATGTACCAAGCTAGTCTCGTCAGCGTTGGGTCTGCGATGTGAAGAGCGACTATCATCGCAATCCTTGGTGACGAGTAGTACGCAGACACCGAAGCGGCGAAGTCGTTCTCGATCCAGGAAGAGAGGCCAATTAGCCGTTAGCAAGGGCTATAGGAATCTGCTCTTGGGTCCCTTGGGCACTAGTTGACACTGTACAGTATTAAGCATGTGTGATAGAGTGCTGATACGTTCACTTTATTGGTGCTATCATGGGTTTACTGTGAATGAGTTAGAGTTATTCAATGATGGATTCCATATGGGAGTATATCATTTGGGTAGGACTGTAGGACATATCTCTCCAGCATGGGACTCCTGAGCATCTTGAAAAAGTTGAAGCGTGATGAAAAAGAGGCTAGGATACTGGTATTAGGCCTAGACAATGCTGGTAAGACAACGATACTGCGCAAGCTTAGTGAGGAAGATATCACTCAAGTGATGCCTACACAGGTGAGTCGCTCCTTATCATACCAGCTCTTACAATATGTGATGATCATGTTTTCGTTGTGATATCCTGGTAGGGCTTCAATATAAAGAGTCTGGTCCGCGATGGCTTCAAGCTGAATGTATGGGATATTGGTGGTGAGTCATCTATTGTCGCCTGTAGTTAGTGAGTGATGCTCAGGCCAGAAGACCATCCGACCGTACTGGTCCAACTACTTTGAGGCCACCGATGGGCTAGTGTTCGTGGTAGACTCAGCAGATCGTAGACGATTGGAGGAGAGCGGCAAGGAACTAAATGAACTACTGCAAGAGGATAAGCTGGGTATAGCATTTCAAGGTGGGGTCGGATGGAACTTTTGTATGTCAAGAGGGACAGCTCTATTGGTATTCGCCAACAAACAGGATTTACTACAGGCATTGCCTGCCAATGTGAGACTTCTATACCCGCCGTGTAGTAGATCTTTCACTCTAGGAGATATCTGATGCTTTACATTTGGATAACATCAGAGATAGGACTTGGACCATACAAGTGGGTGATAGGGTTATGATGCAGCATGCTAGTGTTGACTAGGCATGCTCAGCCAAGTCGGGTGAAGGGGTCCAGGATGGTATGGAATGGTTGGTCGGAGTTATATCCAGTAAACAGCAGCATGGTGCGCATCCATCTTATTGATAATATCAACACATGCTGATGAATGTTCACTCATGAGACACCTATACTCCCCTTTCTTCCGTTGATAGCCGGGTGATGGGCGATTGTTGCCAGTAGTCTGTTCAGTGGTCTAACATTAACATGTCCCAGTCCACCTCGTCATCACCGAGTGCAACTGGAGCCATGACAATGGCCTCCCTTGGTGAGGAGGGGCCTGGTAAGCAGGCCCCTAGCTACCATGGTGGCCCCGTACAACTGATATCCATCGATGAGTCTGGCCAATGCACTGTTGATGAGTACGCCCTCAATATACTAAGGCAGATAGAGGGGAAGGTCATTGCATGCTGCTTTCGGGTTTGAGAGATATCCTACATCAGGTCGCTGTAATTGGTATTGCTGGTCTGTACCGTACGGGCAAGAGTTTTCTCATGAACCGTCTCCTTGGCTTACAGGATGGATTCGAGATAGGCCCTAGTGTGAACCCCTGCACTCGTGGTATATGGATGTGGGGCCAACCGGTAGTATCCCTTGCTCTTGCCAACCGCCTTACCGGAATAACACAATGACTCAGGTCCAACTAGGGCAAAACTTTCATGCTATTCTTATCGATACTGAGGGTCTTGGTAGCTGTGTCCGAACAACAAGCTGCGATATGCAGATATTCTCATTGTGCCTGCTGCTTTGCTCCTTCTTCGTGTACAACAGTATGGGTGCGATTAACGAGGAGAGTCTCGACCAACTCAATCTGGTGAGTACTCTGGCTTAAGAGTATCCGGTAATGCCGTGGGATAGGTACTTCATCTCACAAAGCACATTCATGTTCGATCCTCATCCAAGAGCAACCCAGATTTGTCCAAGGACTCTGCTGACCTTGCCGCTCACTTCCCACCTTTACTGTGGGTTCTCAGGGACTTCAACCTGAAGCTAGTCAACGAAACGGGGCAACCAATATCACCTAAAGAGTGACGGATGAGGGCCATCTGCTGTCAATGATGCTTCTAGCCAAGGTATCTCGAGCATGCTCTGAGGCCAGTAGCAGGTCGTAGTGAAGGGATCGAACAGAAGAATAAAATACGTGATTGCATCAAGGCTATGTTCAGGGATAGGAGCTGTTCAGTGATGGTTAGGCCAGTGGAAAATGAGTAGTCATTATCATTGACACTGTATATTCATGAGGATGGCTTATTATATCAGGGCCGACTTGAGGAACATCCAGAAGCTGCCGTATCAAGCATTGAGGCCTCAATTCCAGCAGCAGGTTGATGCATTCGTTCAGAAGGTAAGACTCACGTACATTCAGTGGACTTAGACTGGTCAATAGGTGTACTCATCGTTGAAGCCTAAGATGATAGGAGGGACAACCCTCAACGGATCGATGCTCGCCACACTTGCTCAGGAGTAAGCTTGCCAACACCGCCAAAGGCAGTGCTGTAACTACTCGTGATAGATATGTCAACGCCATAAACTCTAGTGCCGTGCCCACCATACAGAGTGCCTGGACCAACGTTGTCACGCATCAACTCAGGATATCTCTCAGAGATGCGGTGCATGTGTAGGTCTACACTTATTGTTTCCCGATGAACAATGGGATCAGGTACCGAGCCACGATGAACGAGGATGTGATGCAGAAGCTGCCGATGCCAGAGAAGGAGGTTCGAGCTAAGCACAAGCAGGCGAAGGCTGCAGCCTTACAGGTCTTTAACGGTCCTAAGTTTGACCAAGGTTGCCTCACGGATGGTGACGATTGAGAAGAGGCGGTCCTCGGTTTATTAGGCGACAGTCGGTATCTCGACTTTAAACAAGAACTGAGGAATGCTATCACAAGATTGAATGATCATGTGAACGCGGAAAACAAGAGGGCCTCGGAGAGGGAGTGCCATGCTGTCTACACAGAGCTCCAGAACAGGCAAGATGGCTTGTTGGTACACGTATTGTGCACAATAGTATAGGTTATTGTTCCACAATATGGTCGCTCTTCCACAGGTACATTGAGCAAAAAAATTTCGTAAACTTCACCGACCTAGCCGTGGCCTGGCAGCAGGTATTAAGCATTCGTTTGTTTCCGAACGATTCCCTTTCCAGTTGATCTCCCTATACGAGTCGACGGCGGTTGGGCCAGCATCCACTGACCTGCTGCTCACAACTATCTTCCCGGACATGGTCGCTTCAGTACAGAAGATGTGGGAAGACCTATGCAAGGATAATGACGAGCTGAAACGACAACTGCAAACGAAGTTGGATCTGCGGCAGCCTCCGAATTTGGTATCCGGCTTCAGGTTGGCCGAAGCTGATGGTAGGAACACTGCTGTCCAGGAAATGATTACTCGAGAGCGTGAGCAGCACACTGACGATTTCGCCCAAGTAGAAACTCCATTCTAGCTTGCATGGGATGGTTGTTTGTATACCAGGAAAGGAAAAAGTGGACAGAGCGTGTCGTTGAGCTCGAGACGATGCTGGAGGAGGCTAAGCAGTCGTTGGAAGATACACAATACAGATTCCAACGAGAGACGGCTCAAGTGAGCACAGTGAATACTCCGAAGGCCGCTATTGTCGCCGCCGACCGCTCCAGATGCGTGACCAGGAGTCTGTCATGCGGGATCAAGTGAAGCAATTGCAGGACAGACTACAAGAGAGGAGTAGCTCGAAGAGCAGCTCCAGCAAGGGAGCCACTGGAGCCGAGTTGAACAATCTGAGGTAGACCAGACACTGAGGGTCGCTCTGAGGTGATCGTATGGTAGGGATGCGGTGTATGGAGCATTATCGGAGTTAAAGTCCCTGGACTTGGACAAGAAACAGTTATCGGTGAAGGCTGAGCATGAGAAGCAGCTCATAGGTGGGCACCTCATCTGTGCCGACGACATTGAGTGCTACTCATCAAGCAGGACTGGAGAGGAAATTCAATAAACAATTGAATGAGGCACGACGGAAGAACGAGATGTTGATTGAGCATCTCAGACAGACCTATGAGGAAGAGGTAAGTTAAGAGCAGCGATATTGTTGATATTGTCTCCAAGGTTGATACTCTGAAGTCCCAACGAAGTGAACTCCAACAGACTGTGAAGGAGTTCGAGAAGCAGCTAGCCATGCGGACAGCTGAGTGTGATAAGCTACGGTCCATGGTGGCTAGTGCCGAGACTGACCGGAAGCTGAGACAACAACACGCTGATGTAGGCCAGTGTGTGAGTGGAGACATCAGGGCTGCTCGGTAGGTCTTAGTGAATCAATCTGAGCTCATCATAAGCTTCCTACGTGGACTTGGTCATGGAGATGGACCACAGATTGGGGTGAAGCTCGAGAAGCTGTCGACGCAAGCACAAGATCTCTTTGGAGTAACAGTTCGACGGACATGAATGATATGTGGAGTCGGTGATGAATCTTGCTTATTGTAGCAATGTTGATGAGCATATTATCGTTGTGCAGCAACATGGTATAATTACAATTAGATTTCCGTAAGTGAAGTGTGAACTGAGCTAGTGGCAAGATGACTCTACCTCTCGGTATATATTAGTTTGTAGCCCATCAGATGGCCAACTACAACACAACAATATCGTCTATGCGGCGGCACATCACGGACTTGGTTAACTCATGATCACGTTGCGCTGCATAGTCATTCCTGAAATCTGGGAGATGTTCAGGGCGATGTCCAACTGTACAAAGCTATTTCCAGGTAAGAAGTAAGGGCTTGCTACATCGACAGATGGATAACAGCAGAACTAGGACGAAGTGTCGCTGGATGTACAAGAAGTATAACAAATCCAAGGACTATTGTCGGGAGTCGTGAGTCAGGCTTATACGCGAACCGCACGCATGAGTTACGAGTTCTGCGCACTACAGAACGAAAAGACATGGTGGGGGATTTCCCATTGCCGTTCCCTGGCCAATCAGATGACATACAGTTCCTCCTACTAGTGACCGTGAGCATGGAACTAAGTAGGACTAGAACGAATTCACGCAGGCGCGACCTGCCTACTGACTAGGGCTGCAAATGAAAAAGCTAAATTTTAACGAGCCGTGGGAATTGGCTGATTATCCGTGCACACATAGAACTCCACGCTAACCGGTGCCTTCTCAAGTATGGTTGACACTCAAATTATGTGACCAGAGATTGGTCTCGACATGTTCGAATTCACGTGATGCTGCGTGACTCACGCAGCGTGAGTATGGCGCGCGCTGAAGCCTCTTAAGAGCAGTTTCGTGGGAAATAGAAGGTTGACTCAGTGACTTGCGTCACAAGGTCTTACCCTTCAATTGATACAACAAATCACAGACATGATGCGCTCTGTGACGTCTTCGAACTCAAGCTCTGGGGTGAGGAATTTTAAATTAGCTCGGTCTGGTCGCACACGCTTCATTTATCGGGACCATGATACCTCATGTTGATGTATCACACTATGTCAATGGAGTGTGTTTGTAAAGCATATTATCGTCCGTATGATCTGAGCAACACCAATAGAGTTATAACACTTGAGCCATGTATCGAACACAGGTCATATACAACATTCCACGGTGGAGCGTTGGAGTCTCCACCATGAGATAGATGCTCTCGGTAGATGGAGCTTGTGCAACCAAAGACACAAGTTGAATACAAAAATCTAAAATTCATTACATCAGCGCGTGAGTTCGCATATACCATGGAGCACGTCATGCTCATGCATTACTGTACCACTAGTATGCGAAGATTTCAGAACCCGATCCATCGAATCAATCTCCTATCTCCCGTGAAACTGCTCTGACGATGCTTTTGTGCGCGCCATGCGCACGCATCAACACGTGGATTCGAACATTTCAAGACCAATCTCTGGTCACAGGATTTCACTTTCAACCATACTTGAGAGGGCACCCGTTAGCGTAGAATTCTATGTGTACACGGATAATCAGCCAATTTCCACGGCTCGTTTGAATTTAGCATTTTCATTTGCAGCCCTATTCGGTAGGCAGCCTGCCTAAGGCAGGTCGCACCTGCATAATTGCGTAAAAGGTTTGGACGCACTCTCTCAGGGGCCCCTACCCTGGCGCGCGCTTATGCCGTCATGGCATATGCTGAAGCTTTGGCATGCCCAACACCGAGTTACCGTTGTTGCGTCCACTAGTGCAGGGTCTGTTGTGAACAGCTTCCCTAAGGGTCTTGATTTCAGGCGCGCAATATCGTGACGCCGTTGTGACACGTACACGATCAGCCCCGTTCATTGCACTCTCTCCCATGAGGCTTTGTTTGCTCAGTTTTTTAGGCGTCGTTACGGGTTATGACCCTACATTTTTCTGTGCTGCCTCTCATTTCCCATCTTCTGATTCCCAACTCTTCCCAAGGTTTGGTTCATGAACTCCGCCCAGTTTTTTTTCTTTTTTGCCATTTCCCTCTACTATGAACAGTGCTGTTGTTGAGATTCGAAATACATTCATACACGTCCGGCCCTCGTCAGAGATGTATGATACCCAACGAAGACCTCGCAGCCTTTCTTGTCCACCTCTCACACATCTTGCTTCTGATAACGCCGAGATCACATCTGAATGGCGTCGCACATCTTACAGTGCAGGTGATCAGCCAACATATCAGGTGACTTGGTGACATATCTTATATCAGGTGACGCTAGGGACCGCTTCTCTACTCCTTCCAATGGCATCTCTAACAATTTCCGGATCCTTGGTTCGGAGGGTCTCACTACAGTCATGCTCCGTGATCTCCCTCTAAAGTATACACATGAGTTGTTATGGGTATTTATGGAGACATGTGGTTTCACTGGTACCTACGACTTTATATACCTTCCGACTGACTTCGTCAGAGGGACTAACATGGGTTACGGCTTCATCAACTTCAAAACTTCTCATTATGCGAAGACTTTTATGTCTAGCGTGAACGGAGTCCGGTTACCTTTCAGTGGTAACAGTTCGAAACAGTGCACTTGTTGTTGGGCCCGTATTCAAGGCTATGATGCTAATATTGCCCATGTTGCTAAATCAGCATTGAAAAATCTACCTGGTAATGTGAGACCTATAATCCTTAATCCCAGTGGTGTTCGTATCCCATTCATTTGCCATGGCGGCGAGAAGACTATCTCTCCTAGGAAGTTCAGCAAGGAAGCTCGCAAGAGTGGTCAAGAAGATCCAAGGAAAATCTTCATTGGGGGTATCCGAGAAGGTGTCACAGAAGAGTCTATGCGGGCAGCCATACTGAATTGTATGCCTTCTGGTTCTGACGTGTTAGATTGTTCTATCGTTAGAGATTGCCGCAATGGCAAGAATAGAGGATTCGGATTCGTCACATTTGACTCCCATGAGACTTCTGCATTCGTACTTGATAAGTACTCTACCGGCGCATCCCCTTTATCTATTGATGGCCATGTTGTTTCGGTTAAGCCGTATATGGTTGTGTAGCTTGTGAACATTTACTGTACATAACTATTGTTTGTCGATTTGTTCGGAGTTTACTATCATTGTGAATAGTCCCACCAACATTATTCTTACCGTATCCCCTTTAACTATTTGTTTGTACATTATCATTATGGACCTTAGGTATTAGATACCTTTTGACGGCGTATTCTTTTTTTAGCGATGATAGGGGTTACTATCTCCTTACGTTGCTCCTGCAAGGCTCCAAGTGGATCGTCGATGGGAGTCCTTAAACTCCCTGATACATTGGCAAATTGGCTAGTGTAGTGTCTCAGCGTGCCCTTCCTTGAAGGGCACTGCACTCTGATGTTCATGAGAGTATATGACCTGTAATCCTATCATAGGATTCCTATGTAGTTATTACGTACAGCTCGCCTGAGCACGGGCTTTGTCCCCACTCATTCAATTTTGCGTTCATTCGGTACTCAATGGAAGATCTCTGAACTCATTATATCCTAGGGACTCGTGATCAACAGTATGACATAGTGTTATGCATGTGGGCCGATTGGTAGCCTGGAAACTGCCTTCTTTTCGGGAAGTGAACCACTGTATAACAAAATTGAACTTGTCATAGAGTTGTGTGCTCACTAGTACATCGTTAGGTTATTTATTGTGTGCAACACTACTCAGCGCATATTGTACTAGAGTATATTGCAGTAACCGTGCTGATTCAACACTGCTATCTCCATAGCATGGAGTTCATGCTGTCCGTGATTGTGATGCAGTCCCAATCAACATCTTGGTAATGAGTCAACTGGACAATCGTTCGGCTAGTTGCACCTCTCTTTACACTATGAGTATCAACCTCTCTTGTCCCCTCGTTGATGGTAGCCGCATGGCTGCTATAAGAGGCCACCGTGTTAGGCTGATTGGGAAGGTAAGGAGTTTCCTTTGTCCCCTTCTTCCAATTATGGCTTGCTCAGCTGAGTGGCGATGGTAACAATGAGGGGGAGTTCCACCTCATGGCCCCCGATGGAGAGCAAATACTGTGTAAATCCCCGGAGGGTATAACAACACCAAACAGTGGGGACATATTGTAGGAGGCTACTACTGTATTGATGTGATGAATGTATTGTGTCAGAGTGGTCGAGGTTGTAGGGACGGTTAGTGGCGATAAGGAGATCGACTTGGATATCCCACCTCAAGTCCATCAAGGGGGAGATATTGACCTGCCAATAATGGCCAAGGTTATAGCCCTACAACATAGGTAATATCAACTCAATGAGTGCAAGAAGATGTAATGCTTGTAGGTCCCATGTCGCCCACTTATATGAGGCTGTACAAGCATAGTTGCATTTGTCCATCCTCCCTCGGACTGCTACTACAACGCTGCTAGTGACAATTCATGATTCTTTTGCTCCCTCACTCTTCGTTGTTGTATTGGTTAATGCGTATCTGTTCAATACCACGTTGGGCCTCTCTGACTGGGATCCCTCGGAGGAAATTCAATCCTGGGGGTGAGGACCTTCATAGGCTAGGTATTGACAGGGACATCTCTGTCGGCAAAGCAAAACCACTGTGGAGGAAATAGACTCGTACCTACTACTGTTGAATCCTATGGTTAGGTTAACAGAACCCGAGTAAGTAGCTCTTGATGGTGTCGAGGTGAAGTGGAGGACGAGGAGTGGAGTATGAGGACCAAGCAGGCCTTATTCTCTCGCAAGGCCAGCGTGTACGCTAAGTTGATCTGGTCCGGAGACGCACTATCCACAAGACTGTGGAAGGATAGCTGAGCTCAAGCGATGTGTTATCGATGCAGAGGCAGCGTATATTGTGGAGCGTATCAAAGTGGTCTGTTGAGAGAAAGAATAGAGAATGCGGAGTTAAGGGTGGGATAGTGACGGACTAACAGGGCCGTACAAGATGACGATTGATAATGATTCGGCTTCCTTGACCAACAATGTTGAATGCGTCA